AAACTGGTTTTATTTGTTTCACATAAATGAATTAGAGTTTCAAATGTATGCCTAACAGTTTGCAATATATATATATATATATACATATATGTCTCGGTTTCTATCCAATAAACATCAATACAGCTGAACCAATCGGGCCCAGTGTTTTTTGTATCTAAATGACCCCATGGAAGATTTACGGCCGGTTAAAGTAAAAATATTTTTCCCGGAAAAGTGCCGATACAACAGCATATTTAAGAAAGAAAAACGGCGACAAAATGAGCAGAGATTAATAATTTACGAATAAGATACCAAATGTCCAGTAAAGAAATTGATTTTTTGTCACAAACCCTAATTATAATAATATATATATCCAATGTCGCAGATATTTCAAATTAAGTCTTACCTTTGCCGCAAACTCTAATTTTCTAATCCCTATATCTTTGCAACCCAATGAACAGCCAGATATTTCAAACTCTGAATTCTGTTAGATTAAATAATCTAATTTGGAAATATCTAAGGTTTTCAATAAATGTGGAACTAACATCTACTTTTTAACTCTACAGAGGTTTGGTCCATCACCATCACCGAATTTTAAGGTTTACGCTATCAGGTTGCAAAGATACGGATATTCCAAAATTTAAACTATGTGGCAAAGATTTAAAAAGATTTTCAAAAAATTTGTAAAAACAATATTTCTCCTTTCAAAACCCCTTAAAAAAGGATAGAGATAATTATTGTTACAAATAAGAAATTTTAGGTATTTCAACTAACGCGTTAAAATCGTCAGTTTTGATAAGATTTTTATCATTGATTGAAACCAAAATTTTTAAAAATACAAATTTCTATCTAACCATATAAATACAAGTTTCTATCTAACCATATAAAATACAAGTTTCTATCTAACCATATAAAATACAAGTTTCTATCTAACCATATAAAATGGAAAATGAAGTTGATCCTGTCTGATCTCCAAGGTCAACAGAAAACAGATGCAGATTTAATTATCTTTTTCTCGCGGCTGAATCCAATCTTTCCCGGCGATCGATCTGGTCTTGCTTACGCCTCGCACCTTTATTTAAAGCTTCCACAGCCACACAACTGCTTCCTCTCCTCTCGGTTCCCAATTTTATATCAGCCGGTTGATCAAGCCGATTTCTCTTTTGGCTGTCTAAAGCCCCCAGCTGGCTTCTTCCTATCCAATTTTAGTCTATCCTCCCCTTGGAATGCTGTCCCCACCACCATGAGTTGCATATATAAAACAGCAGTTTATAATTCTCTTTTATGCAAAGAAAAGTCCAATTTGCAACCAAAACAGTTAACGATTCCAATTCCCCTCCTTTCCCAACTGTGTTACAAAAAGGTTATACTTTTCAATGGGGGAGGGGGCCCCATTGAAAAAAATAGGACATATATCTTGAAAGGACTCCTTGACTGATACTGACAAGTGACAATAGACAAAATATTTGAATCCATCCTGCATATAACTAATTGATAAATGATTTTTAATACTTGTGATGACTTGTAACAAATTAGAGAATAAAATTTAATAATTTTTAATTTGTCTTAGATCTAAAATATGACCTTTTTAAACTTGACCAAATATGTTGCTAGTTTTTTTAAATGTTTTTTAACAGGTTGAAATATTTAACAACTAAAACGTTAAAGCTTTTGGGATAACACCATAGATAAAGATAGATTGCGCATAAGATGCCTTTTTCATCTTGAAAGATATAAATGTACAGAGATGTTTTAAAGATATTCCTCTTCTATAGATTCACCAGGTCGGTTGTGAACATTGGCTATTCTTATGTCATTGAGTACTTGAGGTGTACATGAGTTCTGTAGAGAGAAATTTAAGTTAGTTTAGTCCTTCTCATGTCCTTCTTCATTTCTCGTCAATATGATATATTGCTCAGTGAAATATTGTTGTTCAAATAGTTCCATTCCCGGAGTTTTTTTACACTCTTTTTGAAATCCATAAAAACACCGAACCGCCCCGCTTATTATTGAAGTACACTTTGACCCCTAGAAGTTCGAGTTCGCGGACTGTACAATTCTTGGTGATTTTGCGTACAAAGGCTATCTATGTTTATTTATTTATCTATGGATAACACTTCCAATGCCAAACCTATAAAACCTGTTCTAGAAAATTGCTCAATTTTATCTACAATTGTATGCAAAGTTTTCACAAATCAGAGATTGTGCCTTTAAAAGTGATTGACTCACTCAGGTAACAGTGAATTATTTGAGATGTCCGTAGGTTACACTATTAAATTTTTTTATTTATCACAAAAATATATTATATGCATATATAATATTTGCCATCTTTAATAGATTAAAAAAAGACGGTTTCTTATCTAAAATATTTTACAAAAAGTGGAATAATAAATAAATGTATCTTTTTAAATATTCAGAAACATTTTTTCTTATTATTTGAAAAATATTTTAATATTTTCACAATTTATGCTGTAAATTTTTTAAAACTTTTCTATCTCAGGGCAACTGTAACGGGATAAATTTAGCTGGGGTTGAATATCCATAACTGAAACCTTTCCCGCTTCTATTTACCGTACGTACTATTACTGTTGTTGGAAATGGTGCATGATGATTTTTGTAGTTCTTTTTGAAGTAAGGAAGTAATAAAGAATTTTAATTTCCAGAACTCAACTAATTAAATAATGTCTAACTGACTAAGAAATAACCACTCTCTACAGCTGCATATTTGGTAACTTATTGTTTAAAAGTTAGTAAAGAGGTCTGCTGATTAGCTGTTGCATGGGGACACCAAATTTCTAAAATATTGATTTTAGTTTTGTATGTCATGTCTAAATTTGCTCAAAAGTTACTGCTTTGGTAAAATAAGAGTGGCCGGTTGACGGAAAAGTCAAAGTTTTATAAATTTATTATTTCTTTAACGGAAAGTTTTGAAAACTTTCTTATCCGAGTTCAACGTTACTCCAGACCCGTCCTTTAAAATGTGTGGACAAATGGCTTCGACACATATTTAAATAGTTTTCAAGAATTCATATAATTAGTTTAAGTCGTTTATTACATTTTTGGTGAATTCGAACTAATAATTTTTTTCTTTTTTGGCAGGGCAAGGTGTGACGTGGATCGAAAAAAAAACAGTTTTTCCTTCTCAAAATCAAAAATATAGTAAAGAAAAAATGTGTTTATGTATAATTTCTATTTCATCCTAAAATTTCATAAAAATCTGACTCACGGATATGAAGAAAATTTGCATAATTCTATTAGGGCTGTTCGCAATATAGTTAGATCTGTCAGTTGTGGAACTATAACACTTTCTCGCCCGTGAAACCGACCATAAGGGGATCGGTTTCTGCCTTATAGAAACCGACTATTACGACCATTAAGACCGATTTTCATTGGAGATACCCAAGATTTTTTATTGGAGACTCAAAATTTTTGTTTTAAATCCCCAATTTTCCTTGGAGACATTAAGATTTTCATTAAGGACCCCAAAGAAACGGAGCATTATTGTACGGTCGGTTTCTATTATAAGACAGAAAGTGAACATTACCTCCTGAAGGTCGGTTTCGAGGGCGAGAGCATGTTTCAGAACTCCAACTGTCAATAGTGTAATACTATGTGAACAAGACCATCAATAAATAGATCTAAGAATTAGAACGGTGATACAGTGGTAGGCGATTATACCAATACAATTAAGACGACTTTCATTTTAAATCTTTAATTTATATCAAGCTGTTAAAAAGTATGAACACACATAAACATAGAAGTCAAGAGAAGCTGTTATTTAAAAAGCTTATTAATTGATTACTTGTAAACTTGAAATAAAAAACAGCAATCAAAACTTAAATTGTTAAATCGTCTTCATTGTATTGATATAACCCCCTACCACTGTGTTTCTCTAAAAGAATCGAACTGTGTTGATTCTATTAGGGCATTATTTCCTTAAAGTTTTTATGGATACATTTCTTAATTGGTCCGACCGATCTTAATGAAATTTCAGGATTGAATAGCATTTATATTATAAATTATCACATTTTTGTTTTTCTTCACTTCTAATTTCTACGGGAAAAAAGTTTCGTGGAATTATTGTGGTGCTATGTGAGTTTCAAAAATATCAAAATCATAAATACGGATTTCATGAAATGTTGAAGAAGACGACATTAATCACATTTTTATTTTGACTCAACGTATATATCTATCTATATAAAATAACAATGACCATTTGCGTGTTTGCTTGTTTGTCCGATCATGAGTCATAAACCTCTTTACCGATTTATCGTAAATTTTGATTGGGGATTTGTTAGAACGACGAAAATATTCTCAAATTAATTTCAAAATTCTAGTTTGAGTGCAGGTTGGCTTTTCTAGAGAAAGTTTAGTTTTCAGGTAAAGCTGGGTTCCCAAGCTTTCGAATTATTATATTCCCAAACATATTCTGCCACATAACGGTAAAAACAAAAAGTAAATACGAATAAATTTTTGTATAACCTAATTAGCATGCAGTTCTTCTTAGAAAACCTTTATTGCATTTAAGAAAAAAAACAAAGATTTCTCTAAAATTTATATTTTCATTTAAAGGTAAGGTAGTTAACCTGTGTATGCAGTGTTGTGGGCAAATTCAAAATCGGTTTTTTTAATTATTAAATAACGACGACGAAAAATAAAGTAAAAATTCTATGGTAAACTAATTAGATGTTTAGGAACACATTTCTCAAAAGAAAGGAATTGAGTTTTTGCCACAAACTAAAATCTTCGGATCCCAATATTTATGCAACCTGCAAACCTTTGATATTTCAAACTTAGATTATTTGATTATTTGAGTTCATAGTTTGAAATATCGATATTGAGTCACAAAGAAATATAGATAAAGAAATCAGAGTTTGTGGCAAAAACTCAATTCCTTTGTCTAAAAATCAAAGTTTTAAGAATTAATTATTTCCTTTTTCATCATTATATTGAAACTCTTATTTTTTATGAATTTTTTCGCAGATTTCTTCAAATTCTTCAAATGTCGTCTTTTTAATAAAAATTCCAGAAAATCTGCAGAAAATCTTTGTTAGTTGGTCATCAAAGAAAATTTAAGTGAAAGTGACCCTTCATTTTAAGAGTGCCAATGTCGCAACGGTCGTCCTATGAAAATTTAAAAAATGACAACGGTTATTTGCTTCAATGTTTCTTGTTCTCGTTGCACCTACCAAAAAATATATTATTATCAAAAATATAATTAAATAAAATTAAATCGTGATAATCAAAGAGTTAAATCATGCAAAGGAAAGATAAAAATTGAGTTATAGTATGGATTTTTATTGTAAACAAGAGTCAACCTGGAGTAATTCTAATTCAACAATAGTTTCTAATATGCAGTTGTCATTACTTTTCGGCAAAACAATTCTTTAAAATTAAGAGGGTTGTTTTAAATCAATATCGTAATTTTTTTATAGTTTAATTTGGCAAAGGAATTTATTATCAAAAGAGAACAGCAACAACCTTATTGATCAGCGTTTCCATATTTTCTTCTTCTACCAAGGCCAGCTCCTTGATCTTTTCCAAGGAGAAGATTATCTCTGTTGTCTTGTCGAAAACATTCCGGGTTCTCCTGCAGGAGTAAAAAATAATTGATGAAACGTAATGAAAATAAGAAAAACAGAATTTACTCTCAAGAGAGTTTTGAAGTTAAAGTCTATATATCTTCTCTTTTCCTTGAGGTCTTCTCTACGAAAATACATTTAATTTAGGCAAGTAATTTATCTAAAGAATTTCATTACAGGAAAGTAAACTTTCTTCTGTTCCCGAGAATTTAGAAAAAAATTGTCAAGTAAATGGTAGAAAACCAAAGACTACACACCACTTTCTAACTCGCTGAATTGCCCTGCGCTGTTGCCCGTTAAATAAAAAAATGAAACTCGGCAGAAAAACACTTCATGCTTCAAAAACGGTTAATATAATGGAGGTGCTACCTATCCAATGTTAAACAGGACAATTATATAGCTTCGTTATAGTTAACGTAACACTTTTTTCTTTCCATTTGAGTTAAGCACATTTTATATTACTAAAATATTTATAAATTGTTTTTTTTATTTTCGGAAAATAATAATCTTTAATAAGTATGTGTTTGACGGCATGTAAAGTTATTGAGGGTTGTGGCTTCAAGTATATGATGTAAAATAGTATTCTTCTAGGCATTTACGATAGAATATAGAACCTTGCATGTTAATACATTCTTTCTTTCCATTAGTAAACACATTATTTGTAATATTACAATTATTTATTTAATAACAAATCCAAATTTTCTAATCCTATATCTTTGCAACCTGATGTAGTGAACCTTTGATATCTCCAATTTGACTATTTGAGCTAATATAATTTACAGTTTGCAATATCAAAGGTCTACAACATTGAGTTGTAAAGATATTGGGATGGGAAAGATTGGAGTTGTTACAAGGTTTTAGTTCAGGTTAAAATGGAGAAATTGTTGCTTCAAACTTTTAATGAAATTATATTTAGTATTCATAAGCAAATTCAATAAAATATAGAACCAAGCATGGTTTCAATGTTTTAAATTCTTTTTTGTTAAATCAGACTTCTGAGTTGCACAAGAAATCCCATCTCCAACATCCGGTGTTCAATGTACTAGAGTTTGGTTTAAGGTAATTTTAACATCCTGACACAGTTTGTTTCCTACAATTAAAGGAAATTACCCATAAATTACGTAATAAGGAATGAAAGATGAAATATGTTTTTATTTATCATTGTTTTTAGCATCCGTTTGTTCCAGAATGACACACCAGGAACCCGCAAGTCTTTGCTTAAAGTATATTTTATTTTGGATTGTAAGAAATTTTTTTTATTTTACAATTACTTTTAAAATATTGTATATCTTGTGAAATTTCATCAAAATTGAAATCATTAAATTATATATCAATCTCAACTTACAGAGAACGCCAAAGTTTATTGCGCACAGAAAGTTTTAAGCGAGCTTATTTAGATATCTGTGAAATATATCACTCTATCCCCGTAGTAAATTTGAATTCGAACAGGACCTGCCTAGTTTGTACCGGCCTGCCAGATAACAGCGTGTACTGACCCGATCCTATGGTACAGTACGTCGCCCTAACCAGACTAGCATACGACAGGGGTCAATTTTCTTGGCATAGTCCTCTCGGAGGGCTAATTATGACAACTCCCATGGCGCGTTTAGACTTTTTACAGTACCCGGCCTAATCCTAGGCCTATTTGACCGACCCCACTGGCTTAGTCCACCGTGATATAATATTGATGTTAATAACCCATTTCCGAGTGCAGATCCTAAAGGTCACAATTGACCTTTTTTTACGAAGAAGAAAATAGAATAAATTTTGAATTGATAAAACCTTGTTTAGACTCGATCCTAGAGGTTCATTGAGAGAAATAATTTTAATGAGAGAAAAAATATTCCTTAAAAAAGTTTTGCTTACGTTTATAAACAGTTTCACATCTTCCTACCATTGTTAAGAAAAAGAAGGAAACTGAACTTTTAATTCTTATGTTTGTATTTGTTTGGAATGTTCAACTGGTTTAGGCTAACAAGCAAAAAATATTATAAATAAAACAAAAATTTTTTTTCATTATTGCGAAAAAATTAGTTCAGAGTTCTGCACAAATATCTGATTTACATTACTACATATTTTTCTTTCGGTTTTGTCCATTGAAAATTTGCAGCTAACCAAAAAAGCTTAATTTTAATGCTCATAAATATGTTTACTTAAATATGTTTACACCAAGCGCAAGTTCATCCTTGTTCTTTCAAAAATGTTGGATGTTTCTTTTCGTCAAAACAAGTCAACAATTTAATGTATTATTTATAGACATAGTATTATTTAACCATTTAATCTGACATTTACCGTGAAATTTTTGAAGAGGACATAGCACCATTCGTTCTTGACGTAGAAGAAGAGACCAAATACAAGGAAAACATAGACTGTTGTTATGAAAAGAACTACAACAAGGCCACTATCCAATCCTAAGGTATACCACTTCTTATTCTTCTCCTTCCCGGCTACCCAGTAGGATCCACGCATAATCACAATCTACAGCACACCTAGTAACATGTACGTGCAATTAATATCATATTTTTTCATTAAAAGAAAAAGAAAAAATTTACAAGTAAATGATTTAAATTTTAAGGGGCCATTTACTTATTTGAGTAATTTGAGAGTAAACTAAATAGCCTATTAGCTATTTATTTGTATTAGTCTTACTTTTAAAAGACAGTTGTGGCCTGAGAAAAAGCCAATTATTCAGAATTCCACGAGACCTGGATTTCTCGATGGAGAGAATTTACAAACATATGTATCGCAGAAGCAGGACCGCGATCTTTCTGTGACCCCCCCCCCCCCTCCCCATCCATGAATAATCACCATCTCGATAAATATCTCGATTTTTCTAATTGCACGGCTGGAGGTATCAACACAAAAAATAGAAAGAACATAAAATAATTTTTAAAAATCAAGAATCTAAGTACTAATTCAAAAGATAAATGTTTCTCTCTATTATATATAACATCTTGATACTGTCTTTTTCCAAAATAAAAATTGTTTTATGGTTTGTGGTTTTTCATTGCATTTTTCTTAGATATAAAATTAATGATACAAATAAATCAAACCTTTTTTAAATCTCGTACAAAAAATGGCAGATCTGAGCGACTAGCATGCCTTTAGAAGTTTGGAGTGGAACTGAGATAATTTGAATTCAGATTCACGGGCCGAGCAACAGATATTTTGTGTCCTCGGTGCTACTCCTTTAATACAAGAAAGCTTAAAAATCACGATTTTTCAATATTTATGTACAGTGTACAGTGTACAGTGTACAGTGTACAGATGTACAGTGTACAGAAATGCCAACAAAGCATGGGACAATTTTATTTCAAACTATTTATTTGTTTTCCTTATTCTTATTTACGTGATGTTTAATTTGATGTTGTCTATTTCGGGGTTACCCACAAGGGATTTTCTTAGTCAAATAATTTATTATACCATGTTAAGGGATTTTGGTAAAGGCAGATAGTCAACTTTGAGATTCTAATATTTTAAAAGTTTTAATTCGTCATAGACGTCTCATTTTTCCTAGGCATCTATAATCATACGGTATAGGGCGGGCCGCGTCAGTTGTATCTCCCTTCTATTCCATACTTCTTGGAAATAGCTATTAATTTGGTAGAAGTTTAAAGATCACATTACTAGCTATCACTAAATTGATTTTTACACTGAATCATAGAATGGATGGACTGCAGGACGGCAATTGTTTGTTTTATTTCGTTCTTCTCATCATTCGTTCTTGTTCAGTCAAAAATTGTGGAACTGTAATAACCAAAAAACTCTGAAATAGAAAGACGACCTTATATCCAAACTTTAATGTATTTGATGTAGTTACAAAGCAAATGTTGTAACTAGACACTAATTAAGTGAAATGGGATTGATTACATTGCACAATTGCTGTGTCACATGTTCATGGGACTATTTAAAGTCTAAATTGAGTCTAAAAGTCTTCTCCATATTTCAGTTTTCGGGTTTCCACTGAACGTGACTTATGTGAAAAACATACCCCAAGTACTGTATGTATTGTATACATAGATCAAACCTTATATGTGACTCAATATACACAGAAGGATAAGGTCAAATTTATACGACATCATTGATATGACTTTGTGACTTAGTAGCCCCTCTAGTTTTGATTTGATTTTGATAGATTAGTTAGGTTAGAAATTAAAAACATTTTTGTTCTTCTTAATATCTCTTCAAAATTTCAAGAAGAGGAGCTGTGACTAAAAACACATAAGATTTTAATCTTGCGTGCCATTTACTTTAGTTTGACGTGTACACTGTATAGAGTTCAAATCTCTGCTTATGGCGTATACAGTAAAATATCACCAATCTAATCTAAAGTTGGGGAACTGAGCCCGAAAGTATCGTTAAACGAAACTCTCGAGTTTTCTTTGTGGGGTCTTAACATTTTGTAGATTTTGATTTATGAGATTCGACAAAAATTGAGAATATGAAGAAACTAAATACTAAAATATTTCATAACAAAAATATTGATATCCACAAAACCCAGGTTTTAAGACTGGTTTTCATAACGATACCCTGTCTTAAGTTTTGGGCTCTGCAGCATAGAAGATTTTTAGAAGCTAGAACCATGTGAAAGCGCGATTATTATAGTCATGGTTTAGTTAAAATTTATCAAATACCCAATTTAGTTCTATTATACTCATGTATATATAGATTTAATACATTTTTTATACAACATGCAGAAACTCAAATTTTAATTTTTTAATGCATACTTTGACAACAAGAGCTGCTGGGCATAATATTTATCTTTACTTTCCTTAATGATAGAGGAATTAATACAGCACAAATATATAAAATTTTAAGTTTATAGCCGTGAAACCTAATTTATTATCCTGCCAGTCAATAAATATAGTTTGTAATACCTTCGATTTAAGTTGTGAACTTTTCATAACCTTAGGTCAATACAATAATAATGTGTTTTTTACAAAATAAAACATGTTTACTGATGAGCGCAATTAATGAATATGTCTAACGAAAGCCGTATTCTAATGCAAGCTCTCTTTCTAAGTGTAGAAGCAATAATGTTATTAACCTCCAATCCAACCAACAAATAGCAACCAGGCGAGATAAAATTAAATATAGTTGGAATAGAAAGGTCAAATCAGCTGAAACCCTCCAGCAGAATGGTGAAGACGATTTGACCTTGGCCCTTTTTAAACTTTCCCTTTCTAACAATTCCAAATTATTTGTCCACCTCTTCTTATAACATTTCACCTCCAAGTACTCCAAGTAAGCCTAAGCATTGTTTTTATTTCATATCACAGCCGTACACAGAGGGGGCATCAGTCCCCCCCCCCCCGGGCATTCCAGGACAAAAACTAGGACGAAAACCATGTTTCATAAAAATGTAGTCAGATTAAACATGTTTTAAAACGAGAATTATTTATGTTAACATTTTTTTCTCGACTAATTCAAACATTTATTACTTTTCTCATTATTGTTAAGTTAATACGTTTGCTAAAATAAATCAAACCATCTTTTAAGTTTGAGTCAATGTATATTTTTTGTTTTCAATTTCTTAAGAAGCTCATTATTTTTGTTTTATTGTAAATTCTAATTTTCCTTTTACAGTGTGTCCTGATAACCATTTGAATTTAGTGACGACATTTTAACTGTCTTCGATATTTGATATCTAATGAATGATGAAGTGTGCATGAAAAAATTATCGTACAGCTCCCGAATTTATTGTCATTAGACTAGAACTAAGATAATTTATATTCTTCAAGTCAATACACATGGTTTCTTTAAGAATAAATGATTTTTGGCTCAACAAGGTGTGTAAAAAACAAACAAAAAATTTTGGACATATTTTTTTGCTTAGTTTAGGGCAAAAATCATCCAGGGGAAGGGGCACCAATTATTGTTCCCTCCTTAGCTAAAATCCTGTGTATGCGGATGTTTCCCCCTCTCTTCTTTTTATTCCAATATTTTTCCTACTAATTTTCTTCTTCCGATTTCTTTCCTTTATATGACTCAAGAATTTGCAGAAGTTTTAATTATTTTTTTTAATTAAAGAAAAGATGTTAGCACTGTAACTTTCTTAGTTACGCTGGCCAACTGCCCCATTTTCTCTTTTATGCCGCTGCTGGCCTGGTATTTAAAGTTTCGAATTTAAAGCCATGTGTTTCAAACTGTGAAGCCTAGCTCAAGGCTTTCTTGGCGCAGCCTGCCAGTTGACACACTGTCCGTATGTGTGAGAGCCTTAACCCACAGGGTTTCATTTTTAGCATCAATTCTCTGAGTTTCACATTTAGGGAAATATAAGCATATACATACATTTACTATCAGTTGATATCTACAAACGTAAAATGTTTTTTCTTGAAAAATATGATAGAAGTTAGTACACTTAATTCGTTAGTTGTATTTTTTGAATTTATTATAGAAGTGCACTTCTAAACGATTCAAACTTTATTTAGAGCGTATGACGAAAATTACTGTAACCATAAATCATGAATCAGAATACTTATAGCTTTTAAAATTGATCCCAGTATTGTAAGCAACTTCCTTGTTTCACGTTAAATAAGAAAGTCACAGGTATAGTTTTCACGTCCTAGATTTCCTTCCTTATACGGCCCCTCTCTCCCACACCCTGCAAAGCGATTTTACCCCCGAGTTGTTTCGCTGGTTCTAACTTTCTCGGTGCGGCGGATTTCCAAGGAGAGGAGATGGCCCGCCCGGCCTGTTGAGCAATCACGGATAGTCTAGTGTCGACAGATTACAGTAACAGGGCTCCGGCTAAGCTAACTTAACAGTTAAGCTCAGACTCTTGTGTTGTGAAGACGTGTGTGCGTGAATGATGTTACTAGAACTTTCACTTTTCTTTTAGGTAATTTTTCACCTTTTTTCTTAGAAAAAAATTATTTTACAATTTTTTCCCGAGAACTATTGACTAAATCATTAGATTATCGAATTGGATTTATCCTTGTTTGAGTTATCACGAGTGACCTTCAAAATAAGAAAGTTGAACAGATCCTTGTATTTTCCAAGGCATTTTCTATTTAAACACTTTCTAATCTAAATCTCATTGAAAACTAAAGCGCTAGAATTGAATGAAATGAAGTATAAATCAATATTATTCCTAGGAAATTTATATTTTATATCAGAATTGTTCTGAACCTGTAAACTTTAGTGTATATGTTACAAGTAAATTGAAGTATCATTTGAGCAATTAGAATAGAAGCCTTCTTTTTAATAATAACGTTGTATGTGCTTAGTTTCCCTTCCCCTTTTATACACTCTTACATCAAGGTAAAACATTGGTTTCTGGCGTTCATTTTTAGTTGACATACCATTTTTTAATCTTCTTTAATCTTAATCTTCTTTTTGTAAATACAGATGATGCGCAAAACTTTCAAATTATGAAAGCAAGAACTAACTCATACTTAAAACATTTTCTGTACATTAGACTTTCCAATATTAGAAAACCTAAGTGTAAATTAAGTAGTTTTCAAAACAGTTAAATATTTTGAACTGTCTAAATATATTTTGTATATTATTGAAAAAATATTTGTTTGAAAAAAAGCAGTTCTTATTACAGAAAGTATTGAGTCTGGTTCTAAGGGACATATTTCAGTTAAGTTTGGGTAAAATATGTTTCTGATTCCAATAATTCAAGTATTGTGTATTTTAAAATAGGTGAATAATGAGTTTTTGCCACAAACTCAAATTTTCTTATCCCTGTAATTTTGCAACCTAATGCCAAATATCTTTGATATTTTAAACTGTAAATACTGTTAGATCAAAAAATCTAAGTTTGAAATATTAAAGATTTACACCATAAGATTTAAAGGATATAGGGATTATGAAATTTGAGTTTGGTGCATAAACTCAGTTCCATTGATTTTCTCATATTTGTTTGTAAAATCCCAACAAGAGAGGTTACGAATCCCTCAACTAAGCTTGCGGTGCGTTCTGCAGTAATTTACAGTACTGTGACCGAAGATATAGTAGCGTTTAGTGGAGGGTGATATAGCCCGAACGGAAAATATTAAGTACTTATCACAAAAACAATATTTATTCAATGAAAAAGGGAGTCGATACAAATGACAGAATTAAAAATGCTCGATATGACATTTGCCAAAAATACTTTTGCCGAATTACATTTGTCCTAAAATACATTTTCCCGAATCACATTTGTCCTAAAATACGTTTTCTTGATGGCACATTTGGCCGAAGCAACAAACAGTACTAAAAGATCGATTTTTTTCAAATACAAACCAGTAGTAAATAAAGTTTTTTTTAGATTTTTAAAGTCAACGTACACAATCATTATACATTTAAGTATAGTCATTATATTGTGCTCTTGGATAACAATTACTAATTAAAAATGATCTAAATAATCCCTTAGGCCAATCATAAATTCATATATATTGACTTTAGTATAGTTTATCATTGTCATCTTCAAATAACACGTTTTTATTTTTAATAAACTCCTTCTGAGGTTCTTCATATAATTGAAATGAATTTTGTTTTATCAAATAATCTAAGTTTGAAATATTGAAGAAAAGCTGAAAAGAACTTTTTATATTTTATAAATGAACTGGTTTAATTTGATTTAGAAATTTTTCTAGTTTTTCTTAACTGCCTCTCCGTTGGGTGCGTCAAGATAATATTAATCACAAACGGACAGACAGAAAAATAAACTTTTGATTAATAGAAGCTGATATGGAATTTAAAGAATTTGAGCCGCGGTTTAAATCTGCCAAAACCCGGTTTAAATTAAGCGCCGGCTTAAATCTTGAAACATTTGATACAATTTTAAGTGGAACCAACCATATTTAAGCCGCGGCTTAAATTTAAACCGCCGCTCAAATTCTTTAAATTCGGTCACTGCTCTACATATTAGATATTTATACTGATATAGATATATATGTATCTAGATTAAAATAATTATAGTATATTTTATATATTTACTATACACATGCTGGAGTGCGAGACAAGGGTAGCATAAAAAATATAATTGTTAGGAGGAGGTACGATGTCACAAAATCATAAGTTTACATTGATGTAATGCTAATTTACACAAGATTTGAATGATTAACATATAAGTACATATCTTCACTGTATAAACGTAAAGTGCAATATGTACTTGATATTGGAATATTGCTAAAGCGGTGAACTCAAATAATAAATCAAATAATTAAAGAAATAAGAACGCTTTAAAAAATGCCTACATGCACCGACACACATTTCCCTTACCTTTACCGTTAAGATAAGGTATGTGAACACTTAACAGGTGATTCAGCCACCCCTCTCCCTTGATATTCGCTTTCTCTATTCCACCTCTCCTATCCCTGCACCTACCCNTTACATACGCTCTCTCCCACTCTGAAAACCAACAAAGATCTTACTGAAAACTAGAAGAGTTTAAAAACAGTGATTGCAATTTCTCAACTTATAAATCTCCTAATACTTTTATCACACTTAATTCTTGGATTACAAAATTATTTTTAATTTATTAGAATTAAAAATATATTTTTTAACGATAAAAAGCAGTGCTTAGGCTCAATTTAACTTTGATGCGGATCCGGATCTTGGATCCGTTCTGGAAAAAAATGGATCCGGATCCAAATCCGGATCCAGATCGAGGTCATTTCTTCGAGATTTTCTGAATTTTTTAAACAAAAAATAATTTTCAAATGTTTTTTTAAATTTTTTTTTCGCTTATTTTTATTCTGAAACTTTATGAACCATTCAGAAATGAGGACATTTTTATAATCTCTCATTTTTCAAAAGTTCAGATTTGGATTCTATGAGTAAAAAAGTTTTTTTGCAGTTTTCGGTTGATATTTCACCCCTTGGATCCGGATCCGGAAATAGGAAGCCAAAATCTCGCGGATCCAACGGATCCGGATCCGAATTCGGAACCTAAGCACTGAAAGTAGGCATTGAAAGTCCATTATGTCGGACATTTTATCTGTTAGAATCTTTGTGAATACTAATTATTGCGTTGATTTTTTTCTTACAATCTTTGGAATGTGGAAATAATAAATAAAGTAACCTTTTATAGTTTTCTCGAGCATGTTTCATGTCCTAGTTTTCATCATTTGATTTGGTATTTTAATATTTTAAAAAAAGTTATTTAATCTTGAAAGTTTTTTTTTAATTAAAGGAACATTTTTTATAATTACAATAAATTATTGTTCTTTTAGGACTCTTGAATGTTTTTTTATTTACAAAATATGTTATACGTAGTTATAGTGTTTTGTAGGAAACTGATTATGTGTATGTTTCAAGGTTGGTCCTCAGAAAGTGAAAGTTTACTTGCCTCATCCCAACATGGCGGAGGAATATATCTATGCCTGTGGAAAGTGTCCAAGGACATTCAAATTGAGAGATTTTTACGAGAAACACGAGAAAGTGCATGCACTGAAAAAGCAGCATACGTGTTCGGTTTGCGGGTTTGTGTACGGCGCAGCCAAAGGATTAGAAGGCCACATGGAGTCGGCACATAACAGGGAGAGATCCAACCCTGAACCAGCTCTCACGGTCACAGAGCCTGCCAAACCAATGCAAGAACTTCCATTCGGTTTAGGATTTCATTTTCTGCAAACCACGGGAGTCCTTGCAGCCGCAGATCAAGCTAGGCTTGCGCAAGAAAGCGCAAGTTTGTTACAGAAGACACATCAAGCAATGCTGGCTCAAATGAACAAATCAAGGGCGAACCTAAGTGGACTGTCGCTAGTCCCTTTGACTATATCTGCCACATCTCCAAGCACTCCTATTTCTGTTTCTCCTAGTTCTAGAATACACGATAAATCCAAGATCCCTTCCCCAGCAGGAACCGGAACCTACAAAATTTACGGTAATGCTCTTTATTAGTGTTAAAACTTTTGATTGTAAAATTGTTCATTCTTCTGATCCTAAAAGTCAAGTTTAATTATTAATTTTTTTCTGATTAACATGCTTTATGATTAAAATCTTTTTGCGTTTCAAGAACTTAGAGAACTATCTGTATATATTCCTGTTCAAGAAGATTGATTTTAAATAGTAATAAACTGATAACCAGATATAAAGAATACCAAATGTAATTAGATAACTAGTTTTTTAAAAGTTTTCAATGGATCCCAATTTCATTCTAATTAACATATAAATAGATGATGTTCCAAAAATCCACGATGCTGGTGATGCACTGCAAAATGATAGTGGATTTTTCCGTTGTACAATCTGCACTAGAGAGTTTTCTGGCCTTAATAGTCTAAAGAAACATGTACCAATCCATACTAGACGAGTGCAGCACAAGTGTGACACATGTGGTTATGTGTTTGGAAAAAAAGAGTATCTACTTGATCATATGAGAAAGCATACAGGAGAAATCAGTCCTGTTTGTGAAGTGTGTGGACAGACCTTCAATAAAAGTCTTAAACTGAAAGAACACCAAAAACTTCACAAAAATCCTGGATCTGATAAGACCTCATCAGATGCTGTTCCATACCGGTGTCACATTTGTAAAAAATGTTTCTCATCTGCAGACCCACTCGGAGACCATCTGCGAGGACAACACTCTGAGACTGTGTACAAGTGCGATATGTGTGACGCAACTTTCGGGGATGTAAGAGGAAAGAACCATCACATGTATAATGAACATCAGTTAGACGCCTTTCATCAGAAATGTAAGTTTTTAACTCTACTTTAAAAGTTTGTATTAAATGATTTAATGAATATTATGAATATAATGTATATGTCTAGGTGTCTGGTGTCCGGTGTGTAACCAAGGGTTTACTCGACACTATAATCTCAAGGTTCATATGTATAAATCACATGGAAAAGAGTATTTGGAGAATAACTTTTCTCAGGAAGAACTTGACAGCTTGATGAGACCTCCTCCAGGCAGTAACACAAGTAAACCCTCTCCCTCTCCAAGAAAGGTCGATAAAGAAGAGTTGATAATACAGGGAGCTCCAACTGGTATTCTTCCAATTTCTCCTCCTTTGACTCCAAAGCAATCCCCCGGAAAAAGACTCACTGGTGACGAATCCAGTATTTTGCTAAATTCAGCCTCCAATACGAATAAGGTATCTATGAAAGCTAGACCTGGTCCAGCATCAAGAACAAAACATAGTCAGTATTTTAAAGAAGAAGCAGAGAATTGTATGCTAAATTGTGAATTTTGTGAGGCTAAGTTTTTACGAAAGTCTGATCTCTACACTCACATGTGGGAGCACGAAGAAACGTATCTCGATTGTAAGATGTGCTCCGACAAGTTTCTCGAGTTATCTGACCTGCAGCATCATTTGGCCTTAGTTCATGGTCAGATTGAGAGTCTCAAGGATAGACACCCAAATCCGCGCAAACCCGGGCCTGCCAGTCGAACCAACGCACCAAAGGAAAACAGGGCCCAACAGATAATTAACTCGAACATTCCCAGTCATCTTGCAGCTCAGTATCCTGATTCTTCGGGGTATCCTTGCCAGCAGTGCGGTAAAGTGTTAATGCATAAGCAGAGTTATGTCAGTCACATGAGGGTTATTCACGGTGACTACTATGGTGGAAACAAATGGAAGGGGAGCAGTGTAGTTCAGTTAGTTCTTGGAGATCAAGATAATAAAAAACGGCTTCAAGAAGACCAAAAGTCACAAATAAGTACTGCTCTTCATAATATTACAAATCATCCTGATGAAAACCCGGCTAGTCTGATCTACAATGATTTAAAGCTTGGAGTGGCATGTGAGTTCTGCAACAAAGTTTTTAATGATCAAACCTCAATGGAAGAACATATCCTCACAGTACATCCATATCTGAAAAAACGGATACAGACGTTTAAAGATTCCCATGGACTAAAAGACTCAGATGAACCCGACAAAAAACGACTGAGACTGGACTATGAAGGTATTTACAAAGAACCAAATGAAAAATTTTTGTCTTCTAATTCTATCCTTTCTTTTCCATTATCACATGCACAACTTTCCCCTAATGGTAATGATGAACCATTAAATCTTGCATGCAAACCTGTCTCTGTTTCTGTACATGAGGAAAACCAGTCTAACCACTTGACATTTTTAAATGATCATGGCAATAACTTGTTACAAGTGGTTCAGACTTGTTCTCCTCCTTCTGTCTATCCTTTAAACTTACACAAATCACAAAGTACTAAACCTGAGTTCTCTTCTCCTGGAAGAGAATCTGATCCATCAGTGTCTAATATGGGTCATGTATACACTATGGGGTTGGGTACACAAGATAAGCTGCACGAGTTTTTAGTTAAACAGAGTAATGCAACTGAAGATGATAGAGGACGAAAAAGATTTCTCTGTCCAGTATGCAAATGCCAACTTAGTTGGAAAACCAACCTTTCTGTTCATCTCAGGACTCATTCTGGTGAAAGACCTTTTCAGTGTATTCTCTGTTCCAATCGATTTAGGCAGAAAGCACATTTATACAAACACTTTCGATGTTCACATGGACATAAAGTTGCACCATATTTATGCACATTTTGCCCCAAAACCTTTACTAGGTCCCCAAATGATCTATACAATCACATTACAGAGGTGCATACGCTAAAATCCAGAGAGCTGGCAAATAACAACAACTTCAATGGCCTGGATAAGGGAGAAAAACAAACCCAGCCTCTTTCTTTAGTTCTTCCTTCCGTTCTCACGCCTCCATCAGAAACATCTGAGAGATCTTTTTCGAACGAGGAAGAAATTGATGATGAGCGGGATGAATATGACAAGAAAGACGAGGAACACATGGTTCAGGATCGAGAGGACGATGTTCGGTTTGAACCAATCACAGAAGAGTTCCTTTTTGAAGGAAGGATGATCCGTCCTTCCTATTGTGTTTTACCCTTTGTCACTGATGAAGAGGTGGAGACCCAAACACGAAGGAACATTACGGTAATTATATTTGTTATAAAGTTTTTTATCTTCTTTTAAAATTGGTTAAAGTAAACATATCGATATTATAAAACATTGTTTTACCTTGACCACAATTTCTTGATTGCTGAAATAGAGTTCTTGGTATGATATAAAACTATAAGGCACAATCCTTTTAAGTTAAAACTGTTTTAATATTGTTAAATTTGACATTGTTTTTTAACAGGATTACTATGATCCGTCTGAGGAGTTTAGCGAGGAGGAAGAAGGTCAAATGGTTATTGACGAGAATCCAGTAGAAAAAGAAAGATCCTACACCAGTAATTTCAATAATAATGAAATCAAAGTCAGTGCAATCGGCCAGGGGTTCGCAGATTCTATAAATATTTGGTAACTATAACAATCTAAATAAAAATTAGTTAAAATATTTTTGTAAAATACAAACTTTAATTAAACTTAAGGAAACTCTTTTAAAATATATCTTGAAATTTCAGCAATAAAGAGGAGGACACGCCTACCCACTCTGTAAGACTGGAGTCTACCCGACCTTTCTTCTATCCGTCGTTTTCCAATTTTCCCTTACCATTCTCCCTCTCCACCTTGTTGCAGAAGAAGAAGGAAATTGCTGCTATATTAGTTCCCAGAACTCCCCAACTAAACCAATCAAAACTTACGTTAGAGCATCTTTCAAAAGCGGCAATGTCAATAAAAAGCCAAATATCTCCAACCAAGTCTGATTCTGCTAACACTACAGCTGTGAGCGAGTATGAGCATCAGATTCAAAACGATCTGTGGCCTATAGACTGCATCAAATGCACAGCTCTACTACCAAATTTAGAAAATTTCAACATTCACATGAACGATCATTGGTAAATCATTTCAAAATTAAAATTTTATTACATTCAAAGTTAAACAGTTACAAAACAAATAGAAACATTCTTTTCTTTCATGAAGCAAGCATCTTAGTAAGCTAAATTGTTTTCTGATCATTACATTCCTCTTCATTTGTGTTTCAGGCATTCAAAAATTCATAGGTGTTTTAAATCAAAATGACATATAATATTAAAAATAGGTCTGATGATAAATGCTGCCCTGTCTGTGGCCTACTGATTAACTCCAAAAGATTCAACTTCAAGCAGCATCTTAAAATACATACCGGGGAGAAACCGTTCGTATGTCAGATCTGTTCAAGGGCTTTCAGACAGAAGGCACATATGGTGAGTGATACTTTTTCATTATGCTTAAAAAACACATATTTTTCTTTATCTAATATGTACTAACTTCAGGTGAAACATGTAACAACGCATAGATCTGAACCTCGGCCTGTTGGGCATGACCTCACGTTTCAACCTGGTGTAATAGTTCAATAATTTATATGCAAAATTTGTTTAAGCTGCAGATGTTTAAAAATTGTTTTTTTGTTTTGTTTTATTTCATCTAATCTAATTGCAGTGGCACACATCTTTGATTTCGTAGAATATCGATTTTATCAAAACACTTGATTTAATGATTTACATTTATCTTTTTTACCATCGAAAACTATTTAAAATGTTTCATTTTTCCACAGAAGATTGATTATATAGTTTTTATTTTTTTAACCGAATCCTCGTTATTACCTAATTTTTAAGATTCGAATTAGAATCGGATACTCTTTATGTTGTGCAATTTAGTCGGTGTTATAATTCTTTACTCTCTATTTCACTATTCTCGTATGAAAAATTTACTTTGTTAATAAATTCGAAATATAAATAAAGCTCTAAAATAAAGTTGATGTGGAGAAACAAAAATCTAAATCTATTAGATATTAGTTTCCTGTTTTCACAATCTATGTAAATATATTTACATCAATTCCTTCGTCTTTTTGACAAAAAAACTCTACCATTTTTACTTAAAAATGCCGCAATAAATTTCTTTATTTGTAACTATTTCCATTAAAATAAAGAACGTAGACTGTAATTGTTCCCCTTCAAATGTTTTTTTTGGTCACATTTTGCTAAAAAAGTATAGGTTTAAAAGTTGATTCTGTAGTTAAAAAATGATCATCGTAGGTATAAAGTAACAGTATACATATATAGAAAATAACCTTCATTGAAATTATTACATATTTTATTAAAGTTTTAGCAAAAAAAACGGGAGTTTAAAAAATATGTAATTTGTATTTTGTTCATTTGGAATCAATTTTGTGACTCTGTCACATTTAGTTTATAAGAACTATTTATAAGACATAAATAATTTGGTTCGCAATTTCCAGTACTATAAAGTTTTTTCTACAAAAAACTTTTTAACAACACATGAAACAAAAAAAGATGATTTCAATTATAATTTCATTTAAATTGAAAACATGTTTTTTGAGAAAACCCGGGAACCATTGAAAATTTGGAGTCAAACAATATAGCAACAGAACGTAAAGAAACTGGTAGGTAAAGGAGTATTTTGCGTATGAATATTTTTTATATTTTAGAGAAATTAAACTTTTTTGTAAAATATTGTATCTTATTATTATATTTTTATTTTTTTCATACCCTGGACATTAAAGGAGCGAAATAAACAAAAAAAAGGGACGCAGGTGGAACATTATGAATGTCAGGGACAATCTATTTTTCTCGGAAAAATACAGTGCTCCGCAAAATGAAATGGTCAGTGAAGACAACTTCTCGTAAATATACAGTGTTCGTCAACATAAACTGGTAAATCAAGTCGTCTTTTCAAATATTCGGTGCTCTCCAAAATAAAATGGTAAATGAAGACAACTTCTCGTAACTATACAGTGCTCCCCAAAATTAAATGGTAAATGAAGTCGACTTTTTGAATATTTGGCTCTCCCCAAAATTAAATGGTAAATGAAGACAACTTCTCATAAATATACAGTGCTCCTCAAAATAAAATGGTAAATGAAGACAACTTCCTGTAAATATATAGGAAATCAAATATGTCAAAATGTCGTCTTCATTTTACCCTTTATTCTTGGTACTACTGCATTATTTCGCCCCAAATGTCGTCTTCATTTTCCACTTTATTCTGGGTACCACTGAATTCTTTCGTCCTTAATGTCGTCTTCATTTAAAACTTTAGTCTGAAAACAACAAAACGAGTTTATTTTCCACTTTATTCTTGGGACCACGGCTTTTACTGAAAAACGTCTACTGCATTTTTGTTAAAATGTTGTCTTCATTTAACAAATTCATACGTTCGCTGAAAGGAAACGGCATTGAGTATCCCGGTTTTTAAAATTTCCAATGTCGTCTTCATTTGCACTGAAAGGCCTGTCTTCAAATTCCACTTGATTCTTCCCTTATATTTTATGTCTTTCTGAGACACTTTATTTTTTCCCTGAGACATATTATTCTATTCTAAGACATGTCATGTACATTTGTACTGCTTTGCAGTGTTTAAGGTCCCCCAGATTTTATTATGTACGGACAACATAAATGAATGCTTATTTAGTGACTTACAATTCCGTGTTACTATTCAAAAAAATAATTTTATGAAAATTATATCTACAGTTTTATTTTTACAAAAAAAAATAATTTCTCAAAAATATAAAAAAAATTCTTGCTAATTTTATTTAATAAAATTTCGTGTTACCACTTAAATAAAAGGCAATGAAAATGTTATCTAATTTACACAAAGTTTGATATCTAAAATATAAAAAATACGCCTTGTTGCTATACCTAGCGGTTTCTATACATTCTCTTTCTGTAATGTTTGAGAGAAAATGAAGAAAAATTTACTATAACATTGCTGTAAATTTAGCATTATAGCACGATGATTACTTACTAGCACTCCCAAAATGAAATTCACCATAAAGTGAACATAAATGATAAAGTACACAACAGTTTCATGGAATATTACTAAACGCCAACTTCATACCAATCACGCAACTCTGCCCCTTTAGTCAAAGTAAACTCAACATATATGAAGCATAAAGTCTGACCGCGTCAACCTTGTTGCCCCGGCTAGTCCTGTTGATTGTCTGCTTAATTAAGCCAATGTCAGTGCGGTACTGTACAAACTGGGACCGGAAAGGTTGACCCGGCTCGGAAATTCAAATGTACTACGGCGGCCCGTGCAATAGCTATATTTGGCCAACTTCTAAAGAAAAGCAAGTGCAGACTTCAGAGGTTCATAACCGCGAAATTTTTTCTTTCCATACTTGATCTTAGTTTCTTTTTCCTTCTTCTCCTATTCTTCCGATAAATATGTCTCTGCTTTCTTTAATTCTTACCATTTCAAATCTGATCTCTTTTTCAAATAGAAAATATACATTTGTTCTCAGCATTATTTATTTTATAAAATGTTATCACACTAATAACATCATTTAACCAAATTAACTGAACACTTGCCACAACACACAAATTTTATACTCCCTGTATCTATACAACCTGATGATGTAAAACTATTTGATCTAACAGAATTAATAGTTTGAAATAGGAACGGTATTCGCCATCAGGTTGAAAAGAAAAAGAGTATTAGAAAATAGGTTTGATGGCAAGTATTCAGTTTCTTTCCCGTCTCTAAATCACATCATAACTTTATAGCATAGCCTAGAACTGAGCCACGCTAAACGGGGCTTTTAAATTACCTTTTGAATGATGATTTTCTTCCTCATAAAAATATCCAGAATATACATAGCATACACTTTTTCTAGCTTTCTCCACATAGCCCTTTTTTTAATTAAAAATTAAGATGTTGTTGGTTAGATCAAGCCTTGCCTATACTCTTATTTGCAAGCATAAACCTCCTGTTGTTAGCCATTATCAGTCTAAATATGTTAGGCGATTCATTCTTGTATATTATTTGCGGATTTTTTCTAATAACTAATGACTAATGACTTTGGATAGTGCAGTGCAATGTAGTGATGTAATAGGTTACGGTGAAACATCAAATGCATGGGTGATTATTGCTTGATGTCATCTTCAAATCCCTTAGTTTTATGGTTATAGGGAATAGAGCACTAAAAGCGAAGCACCCTAAACATATAGAACATACGATGCAATATTTGTTTTTCAATTTATTTTCTTGTTCTAAACTTCTGATGTTTGAGTCATCACTTAAGAAAACAGTTGAATGGGATATATTTGATATTTCAGTATATTTAAGAATTTCAGAGAAAATTATCAAATTGAAAATTATCAAAATTAGTGAATAAAGGAATTGATTTTTTGCCACAAACTATGATTTACTAATTCTTATGTCTTTGCAGCCCTTGTCGTAGACCTTTACACGATCAGATTGCAAAAATATGGGGATTCAAAAATTTGAGATTGTTTCAAGAACACTGCAGTTCTTTAGTTGATATCTTGCACAGAACATTTTCTTTTTCTTTTTTTTAATAATTAAAAAAAATTTTTTTTTAGCTTGAATCTAATGTAATGATATGGAAATTTTTTAATTTTACTGTTATATAGGCATAAAAAGAAATATATAGAAAATAGGAACTTTTACAATAAACTTGTCAAACAAAGAAAAATAAAAAAATAAAAGAACAATTATCTGCAGCTAAGGATAATCCAAAAAGATTTGGGATTTAATGTAGGCTGTGGCAAACCTTTCCAGTAAAAATACCGATTTTACATCTGAAATATGAGTTCATAATAGAAACGGTATTTTTATAAGAATTATTTTGCCAACATTGGGTGAGAAAAGGTTAATTCTGATCCCCCCGCTATGAATGGATCATTAAAAGATTATCTATCACCTCCTTCCGAAGGAAGTTTATTTTTCATTCCGATTACAGAACTCAAATTCCGGTCTTTTCGAAATTGTTCAAATTACAGACCCATTTCAGAATTATTAATTGTTTCTAAAAAAATTTCGAAAAGACAATATAAAATATGAGAATTAAAATCTTTTTAGATATCTACAGTGCTAACCAGAAAACTGTAGAATAGTAAGACGATATTATAGCATTTCTCAAGTGCATTTAATGTTGTTTAAAGCAAATAGCTTTACTTGAAAGTTATTAAATTACTTATTAAGTAAAATGTGTCTGTTTACATTGCACAATTGCTGTGTCTCATGTTCAATGCGCTATTAAAAGTCATAACTTGAGTTTAAAAGTCTACTTCCTATTCCAGATAATTACGCGTAACGTAATTACGACTGGAAACGAAAACTCATAAAATTCAATATGTAAAACCAGAGTTATAGATCCTGGGGATGGATCTATTTTAGTTTTCTTTAATACATCTTATTGTTAGGATTAATAATAGGATTATAAGATTTAATTTGCTATTTAATTCAATTATATCTTTAATGTTTTTAGTTATTGTAAGGTCTTTAGTAATAAGAATAAATAATAATAAACTTTTTTTTTGTCCTCAATCTCCGCCTGGTTCGTTAGAGAAGCCGTCCTTAACCTGGAGCAAAGTAGTTTTTTCTAAATTACAAATTTGGTTGCCTTGATTTTGGAAACAAGTTTATTTTTAGTGAAAAGGTTAGCTGCCTTTTTTTCGCAATGTTCATCATAAATTCTTTCATTAATTACAAGATCATTTTCAATGTTTGGATATGGATCATTCTTTGCAATCCTATCTTGAATGGTTTTTAAACCTAAGTAGCTTTGATTAAGCTGATAATTTTTTTATTTCCTTTACTAGCATTTCTACCAATAAATGTGGGTTAACATTGAATTCATGTTGATGTATTTCTTCAGCCGACAGGTTAATAAAATCATTAAATTCTTGCTCAGTAGCATCATAATAAAAGTTTTCAGAGAGCAATATGCTTCCACATATTTATCACATTTATTCTTGATACATTTATTAACGGCAACTAAATATTGTTTATCTTCGAAAAAGTGCAGATCTTTTCATGTACTCACCCCTCGTTACAATTTTGAAAAATCTAAATTCTAAAATTATTGTTGAATGATCAAATTTAAAGGAAATTAAGTAGAATGATTCTTGTGCAGAAAGGTTTAATAATGAACCTGTAGTTAAAAGATCTTGATATTTGGGGGCCTCCTTCACTTATCCATGTTTATTCCCAATAAAATTTCTGTACGTGTTAATAAAATCAAAATCAGTAAGTAACTGATATAGTTTTTGTCTTGAACTGACACTCGTTGGATTAGCATATCTATAAAATCACCGGTCAAAACACAGTTTGTGCAATCATAATTTTGGTAGTATTCAAATATATCTTGGAAAACTCGGATCAATCTTCACTGGGACCATATATAAGAACTAGCAGAAATTCGTTTCAATCAAAAAGAAATTTTAACCAAAAGATTTTCCCAATATCATCCTTCGACTCTTACTGATATTTGAACTGACCAGTGGCGTAAATAAGGGGGGTTATTGGAGTTACTTACCCCCCCCCCCTAGAATCCTGGAGGTATTTACCCCCCCCCCCTAGAATCTTAGGGGTAATTACCCCCCCCCCCCTAGAATCTTGGGGACACAAATATCCCCATTTAGTAACGTGATCTCCATTCTCTCTGTCCATGATTACCATTAATTATTAGGAAAAATGTAAAAATTTTTTGGCGCTTCGCGCAGATAATCTTACTCAATCAACTTTATCAAAGTAACATAGATAAATTTTACCCAAAAATCGAGTTTTTTTTAATGTGGTAGCGTACTTCCACTATATGTCAAATTAAGTATAAAGCTCTTCCGGGGGAGGGAGGGAATAAAATGTTAAAAGATCAAGATTATTAAGAATTAAATTTTAAAAAGTAAGACATTTCTCTTTAAATATAGTGAAATTAACATATATACCTAGTATATTGACAAGAAAATTTTAGAACTTAGAAATGAGTTGAGAATATAAACAAAGACAATATTTTTTCAAAGATTTGCAGAGTAGCTTTTCTAAAAATTTTAAAAAGTGACATCTTTTTCTTCTTAGAGTAAAACTATTTGTTATGTTACTTAAAATAAATTCAGTTTTTTACAGATCTTTGTAGTTAATGTAAAATGAATGACTATAATGAAGGATATAAAACAAGGTGAAAGCTGAAAGGTAGGAAATGAAGCCTTTATTTGATGGAGTTTGTAAATGCCAGAAATGAGTGGAAAATGCAAATCAAACCCAACTAAAACCAATAATTTTATATACAGAATGTTATTTTTCTAGGGGGGGGGGGGGCAGAATTTGAATAAAAATTGTTTGAAAATTACAAATGTTTCTATTTTAATTGAATTTTCCATATTGTCACTTGGTCTTGTATCTACAAGATATAAAATGTCAACTTTTGATTTAAAAATTACGATTAAACAACGGTCTATGTTTTTTAGCATCACCCAAATTCCAACTCATTAACATTAGCAGTTAAAATTTTCAATGGGCTTGCAGAATCATGTGGCTGTAAAAATTATTTTAAAATAAAAACATCCGTTAATCTCAGTTTGTAGGTTTTTTCGTGTAAAAGTAAAAAAGTTCAAAATTGTTACAATTAAAAATTTTACTGAGTGTTTGGCTTTACATGAAATGTTTGGCGAAAAAATAAAAAAGAGGGAAATAAAAATACAATAAGTTAAAACTCATAGAAAAATTGATTTAGTTGACAAATACATTTTAGACTCTATTTATTGGGGTTTTATTTGCAAACACTTTAGCGTGTTTAGAACCAATACATAATTAGAAAAAATAAATTATTTTATTTTAACAAATATGTATGGATTGCTAACTCCATTGTTCAGGTAATATATGTCAAGGTTTAGATGAAAAGGTCTATGGTTAATTAATTATTCAGTCAGTTTATTACCAGAACCTTTGAATTTTACTTATATGTTTCGGATGTTCCAACAAATGTCTGTAAATATCAAGAAGGAGCAGATCAAAGTTTAAATAAGGTTGTAATCTTAATATTGTAAACGTTACATTGCGATTAAAAAAGTATCTTTTTTAAATTTGAAATAAGCATACAGGGTTACCCACAAAGAATGAGACTGCAAAGACGACCGACCACTCTTAAAATATGACGATCCCAAGGTTAGATTAATTCTTCCGCCTTGATAAATTAATCTTATGGCTTATTTTAATGATTTTGCAAAGAAAATAACAAGCTTAAGCTTGCGGGGAATTGTGAATTTAAGAAAACACAGTGAAAATTCCGTACATTCGTCTGAGAAGTCTTATCCTTAGTGGGTAACCCTGTATATTGTACATAATAAATGTACAGGGTTAATTACAAAGAATGACATTTTAATGACGACCTAAGTCTTTAAATGTGGCGATATGAAGAAAGAATTTAGTAGACTGTCAAAGAAAAAAAAAATTCTACTGCAGCTTGAGAGAACCATTCGAACCATTAGTGAAAAAAAAGACTTAATCCGTTGCAGGTAACCCTATATTAAAATCTACATACTAAAAGGGGGACAAAACTTTAGACGTCCTCTCTCCAGTCTCTAACCTTCTTTAGCACACATTAAAAACATTTTGGAGCTTAATATAATAATGTATATTTGGCTAATTTTAACATTAGACTAAAAGTAATAAAATGTTTGCGACCAGAATACTGAGCAACGATTCAGAAAGATTGGCACATGAAAAATGAGGAAGAAAAAAATGTTTATTGTCAGTTTCTTTCTCCAAGTGTCGACAAAAAGGATCATTTTCCTTCTGGGGCAGAGTCTTGAACTTGGGGTACTTTATTGGTTGATATGGAATTAAAGGATGTCGTCCGTGTGCTAAACAAAGACTATTGTGCTCTCCGTGAACTAAGAGATCATTTATTTTTGGCCCATTCTCCTTCCAATCCATTATTGAGAACACTTCTCCGACAGTCATGTTATGAAGGCTGTATGGAGCTTTTATTCGAATCTTAAGAAGAAGTTCCATGAGTAGGGTTCTGTAGTTTGTCCCATCCGGAGTTGGGTCAGGGTCTGGTTCTGCTACTGTATAGAAGGGTTTGGCAAGTATATCTTCCTCAGTGAGTGGACTGGAGACAGGCCTGGGGAAAATGGATGGCACAAGGTTGCCAGTCTCTTCGCCGAGACTGTGCAGTAGATTAGAAAGACTAGCTTGGTTATCTGAAGTTCCTTCACCTCCAATGTCCTTCATGAACTCAACCAATCGTTGAAATGATTGTCCGTAGATTTCCTGGATACCCAGAGCATTTGTTAGCGTATGTAGGGCAGGGAGAGATCGACAATCAGCAAGTGAAGATCTGGGATAATATAATATGAAGACAAGGCACATTTCATCTCTTGTAGAAAGTCCTCCAAAAGTAGGGGCATCACGGGTGCTTGTTTTGTAGTCACATTCCAAAATAAGATGATCACCCGGATATACTGTAGTTTCAATAGAAGGAATCCTACTAGCCTGATAATTAAAATCATAATGATTATCCTCTAATATCACTGGAAGTTCGATCCCTTTCCTAATATGTCGTAATCTCATCTTTCGTCCTGCAAGATGGGAGTGAAGAACTCCACTAATAATTTTTATTCCTGACGGAGGCAATCCTTGAGACGTGCATTCAGAGCTACAATGACCAATACTAGTAAATAAATTCTGCTTCGGTGGAATAAATTGGAGGAAATTAACCTCACTTCCAACTAATAGCATTCCTGTATCATAGGTACGTAGATTATCAGTATAATGGATCCGAATACCAGAGTTGTCTATCAATGGAGCGTGCAGAGCAGGATTGTCATAATGTGTCTCTAGCATGAAATATGTAGCCCCTCCAAACTGTTCACCAAGAGGCATTCCTGTATGTTCTGGCAGTCTTTCTCCGAGGGAACCTACTGCCCAGGCCCATGCATTGGTTGCGAGACAAAATGACCATTCTGCAGGCATGTTTGGGCTGTAGCAAGGTTGTCCAGGCTGATTCACATGCCGCTGGAACCAATCTGCTGTTGTAGCTCCGGAAGTAGTTACATGGTTTGCAGGAATATGACACTCATAGAGAACCATGTGGTGAACATAAGATTCGTGTCCTGGTTGAATCAATGGTTCTAGTGCAATCATATGATGTTTTTTGTCTAGATCTGGAGCTTGGTAGATTCTGCACCAATAATGTGTATGATCGTCTGACGGGAGAAGCAAATTATCTGCATGAATATCCCAAGTTTTATGAGGAGATAAGGGTGTAGAATCAGGCATGGGTTCTGCAAGGTGAAGTGATCTAGTCCCTCGCCTCAGTACTGAATGATATGGAAGGTGTGATGGATCAATCGGATCGTCTTCACTATAAGCCCAGATTATCCGGACAGTATCAGTACCAAGATGAAGGTCCTCTTCGTCACAGGTTCTCCAGAGTCGGGAAAACTCTATAACGGTGTGAGTTTCATTCTCCGCTCCTGATATCAACGTAAGATCTTGAGATTTATCCAAGAAAGGAGATCTATTTCCCACTGCATGTCGGTCCGTGAGGTAAATACTTCCATCATCCCCAATCCAACCAAAAACAATATCAGCTCCATGCATTCTTCCTGAGGGAGAGAAACCAAGTCCCACATATCCATGTGTTACAACAGAAACCCTGAACCTTATAGAATCTTTTAAAGGAATCCATTCTAGTCTGTAATTGCCTTGTTGATCTAATACCGCTATGTGAGAGTATTCAACTGCATGCACAAAACCAGAGAAAAAGATGATGGCCAAGTACATCTCCCATCACCGCAAAAACGTCCTTCCGATCAATATCAAATGTATCCTGCTTGAACTGTCTAGTTGGGTTCTGTAGCTAGTATAGTGAAGAACTGAACTGAATTCTAATGGTATGTTAAACCGGTTCCGCCCCCCCCCCCAGCTCTCACATTTACCTGTGACTGAAATAGCCTAGAAAGTAAATATCGGAATCCGCGTAACGCATCCTTAAGTGCTGGATTTATCAGGGTGTTTAATAAATGCATTTTACTGAACCTTTACAGTTTAATTTATTTTAATTAATTTTGAAAGATCTATGACAAATTTTATTTCGCGGTTCCTTACTCAACTTTCATGCCAAAACCTGTGTGTATACTAAGAAAAATTGGGGTTCCCTCTGATTACGGGGGGGGGGCAGAGGTGTACACAGGGGGAGGCTAAGTCCCCTCTGGAAAAGTGAAACTGAGCCCCCCCACACTAACAAAAAAGGTTAGTCCCAACCCCGTACTGGACAAATTACTGCATTTTGTTCGGCCCTCGAGATGCAAGTGTACGAAAAATTGATAAAATCAAGTAATCATGGGGAACAAATGGTCGAAAAAAGGGTGGACCCGCGGGGGCGCGTGCCCCCCCCCCACCCCACCCCATCCACTTGCTTCTACAGGAGTCGACCAGGAAAGAGAGAATCGAGGAAACTCCCTCAATCTATGAACACTTGTTCAAGTGCACTTCAGTTATGATTTATAGTTTAGCCCATTAATACCGACCAGCTCCCCTGTCGACATAATTTCATGAAATTTAAGTACAGCTTCCAATTGGGGGTCTTAAAGAAATTTTTATTTCCAAACTTCTTTGCTAAAATGCATAGCAAACAACATTTCTTAGCGTCTATATTGACGCATTCGGATTCACCTATTATGGCACACGTCTGAACAGTGCACAGGTACAGTGAAAAGAGTTTGAAGTGTACAGTGTGTAGATTTAAATGTGCAGTGTAAAGAGTTAAGTGTACAGCAAGTGAAGGGTGCAATATATAGATTGCAGTGTTCAGTGTACATTTGGAAGTGTGTGCAATGTGCAGTTTGCAGTGTACATTGTACAGTGTATAATGCATATTTTCCAGTACGTTGTGTAAAGTGTAGTGTGATGTGGGCAGTGGACAGTGTATAGTTTCCAGTGTGTTATATACGCTTCAGAGTGTGCAGTGTGTAGTTAACAGTGTACAGTGTTATACATTTTACGTAGCATTTACAGTTTTCACTTTCAGTGTACAGTTTGCAATGTGCAGTGTACAGTTTACAGTGTACATTTGCCGTATTCGGTTTGCAGTGTGCATGGGTACAGTTTACAGTGGGAAATGTGCAGCATAAAAAATATGAAAGGTCAAGCATAAATAGTTACGATAGTTAGTCAGGGGTTGAATTCATGTTCCGAAAACGACGCTCATGTCACTAATGGGTTAGAAGCGATCACTGTATAGTTAAAATTGTCCAATTTTTAATTTCATAAAATAATTTACGTCTTTTAACTTTTCAAGGTGTACTTCAACCTAAGAAAACAATTGAAAGTATAAATGTGACAAGTGTAAAAACTCAGATAACGCGAAATATAGAGATCTTCAAAAAAAATTTAAAGCAGCCCAACAAATAATCACAAATAAAGTTTGTTTAAGTCTGTAACTTCTTCTTTATCTTTGACTTTATTTTTATAATTCGAAATAGATAAAATCTATCTTTATTTTTAATATAAATGAATTTGCGATGTCTGCATGCTTGTTGTTGTATAAAAAAGCTCTCGCAAAGGAACTGAGTCTTTGCCACTAAATCAAATATTCTAATCCCTATAATCTTTGCACCCTGGTGGTTGATTTAATACAACTGATAGTTTGAAATATCTAAGGGCTCCGACATTGGGTTGCTTAGATATAGGGATTAGGAAATCAAATGCGTGGCAAAGACAACCAATTTTTGACTCAAAGTTTTTAAGGTATAGTAATGTGCGGTATCAATTACAAATCTTATGACATTCTTTTCTTCATTCTTTTTTTTAAATGAGAAGAAAACAATAGCAAGATCTAGCCTTACATGAAAAAAACTGCTTTAAAAACTGAAACACCAAGCAACGTTTAGTAAATAGTAATGTAGACTTGAGTATCATTTATGTATTCACTCACATTTTTGACAACAATTTTTTCATGTGTAAATAACTAACTGTTAGTATAAGGTTATATTGTTAAGTTGTATCTCCTTCTACAAATCACAACGCTTATTAGATAAATATAGTTGACTCAGTATGACTAATGAAAGGACTAAACTTAGTTCATAATTAAAATATAGACATTTTACATCACAATAATTCCACGCTTGACAAAAAGTTAAATAAATTTTACAAAACATAATAATGGAAATAAGTATAGTACATATAAAATTTTCTGTACATATATATTTATAGACAGTTTTATTTAGAAATCCTTAATATTTGATCTTTGAAGCATACACTAGGTGAATTACCCAACATTATAATTAAAACCCACTCGACCAACTCATCCAGTGCAGTATTACACATTCTGCTTCATAAAGTAAATAAGTCTCACACCAACTCTGATTTTAATACCGCAATATCTTTGCAACCCAATGTCATAGACCTTAAATATTCTGAACTATGAATTCAATAAATTAATATAATAACTTAGAGGTTGTAAAAGTACGGTCTCACAATTTGTGCCAGATATTCAAACCAAATGTATTGAGCTCAAAATCAAATTTTGACACCCCTAATTTTTTTAATGTTTCAAGCCTTTGAAACCTTCTACTATATATTAGGCCTTAACCCACCCCTGTAAAAATTTAAGTTGAGATATTATGAAAGAAGATGGCCTGAATTACTTAATCTAATGCTGATCATTTCACCTAGGATCTTATAACCTTTAAGAAATAATACATCCACTCTCACTGGCATGTTTTGTTTCTGAATCCTGGATCGGCACTTCTTTTACAGGCTTAACTTCTTCCTCCTCTTTCCTTTCTGCTTTAGACTTATTTTCCTGAACATTAATACTTATTAGAGGGTAAATTACAATGTCACAACATTCTAAATATTTATAATGTGTTAAAAATAGCTTTGATTAAGATGTAACTCTGTTCTACCCAAATTCTCTTCAATACTTAAACTGCACATTCCAATGACACGAGAGAAATACAAGTCCACTCGTCAGACATGAAGATTGTAAACGGGTTTTTTCGAACCGTCGCAAATGATGGTTACTTTGATATGATTTCTTTCCAAAACGCGCCAAGAGATGCAATGAACAATAAAAAACAAGGAAAGTCATTCTTAACAAGAAAACATAGAAAGTGGATGACAGAGGCGAAATAGAACAATGTTTTACATGACTAGTACCATTATTTTATAAAAAATGAAAAATATACAAACACGTTCTAGGCTCTTTTTCGCAATTTTTCTGTTTCAATTGAATCCTTAAAAGCCACCAAAAATATGGGCCTTAATAATTCAGCTGTTTTGACGATTATTGGATACAAACAGACGAATTTATTCAGAGCCTTGAACTGCATTGGTTCTGTTTTTTATTTCAGTCTCATGCTGCTAACTTTTTGTTCAAAGGTTTTTACAAAAAATGATTTAAACACGGTTTACGCAATGGGCATATACTTCTCTATAGTGCCAAGTGTGTAATAGAAAAGTAGTTCAACTAATTATAGTGGTTCATTAAACCCCCTAGGTTTATGTAACCGTAGTATGTTTAACGTAGTGAGAGGATATTTAATTAAAACAATATTTTTTAGATTAGAACCTTTTTTAGATTAGAACCGTCAAAAGCTGCATAAGCCATAGTAGTCCAAAGTGGGGAAACTGTTGGCATCTCATACTGGTCGGGGGTCACCAGTCCGTGAGTCTTCTCATTTATTTCCAATTCTACAGGATCAAATGGAACCTAGGCATTTATATGTTTTCAGAAAACAGAAATAAATATATATTTTTAATTTAAAAACAAATAACCATCTTCCAGACACTTACAGGGTTGTACATTTTTTGGACAATATTACATTTAAAATCAATGTTCCACAGAATGTTACCTTTTGATGATAAATGAAACCGTTTTCTCTTTCACACTTTTCCAGTGTTCGGTCAAGAATAGGCAACAGTCGGGTAAAAAATGAATGTCGCTCAGGTTTGGCCTAAAATAAAGACAAATTCATATTGGGTTACTTCTAGTGCATATAATAAGTTGAAAAACCTATTTAATACCATTTCATTTGGCTTATTGTCAACTTTACAAAATTTAACTGAAAGCCAAGTTACTAAAAAGGTATTCCAATTAATTTTCTTTCAGTTTGAATTCCTGAATTCAAGCATATATTCGAACCAGAATTATATAGGAATAAACTATCAACACAAATTACCAGGAAGATGGAAGGGGAAAATAAGGTTACCCACAAAGGAAAAAAAGACTTCAGATATGACGACTTTGACGCAGTATTATCTTTTACTGCAATTTTCTTTCTCTAATTATTTGCCAAACAACATTCAAAGACTAATACATGAAGTTAAACTCGGGAGGTTATTTTTTTTTAGGCCGTCTCAGGGGATATATTAAAAAAGATTTTAGAAGATTTGGGTAAAAATGCAAGTAATACTTGACAGTGCACATTTTCCCTCTTTTTAATACAACCAAAAAATATTAATTTTCTTTGAAAAATATTGATTTTCCACAATTCGGCAATAAGAAAAGATTCAGGGTGGCCAAAACTTTTTTGAAAAAATCCGTACAAAAATCCGTACATTTTCAGAGGAAATCCGTACAATCCGTACAATTTTCGAAAAAAAATCCGTACAATCCGTACATTTTTTTGAACAAATCCGTACATTTTTTTGAACAAATCCGTACATTTTTTAAAAAAAATCCGTACAATTTTCGAAAAAATCCGTACAATCAGTACAATTTTTGAAAAAAATTCCTGCAACCCGTACATTTAAGAAAAATAAAACCATTTTTGAAAATATTATTCAACACTGTCTCACTCCCCCCCATTCCCCACCACCTCTTTCTCCCCCCCCTTTTTTACTCCCCCCCCCTTCCCTCAGCAACCAATGATGTTCTGAGAACCCGGAAATAATGAAAAAATAAGATCAACTGAAGAAACTCAACCTAAACTCAATTTTAAAATCCATTTATCTTTGCAACCTGAAAACCTTTTGTTTTTAAAACGAAGCCTAATTAATCTGGCAGAATGCACAGCTTATAATAACAAAAGTCTACCACATAAGGTTGCAAAGATATAAAACTTAAACATTACTATTAATCACTAGAGAGCTGGAAAACTAGAGAACTTGAGAACTAGAGAACAAGAGAAAAAGAGAACTTAGAACTAGAGAACTAGAGAACTAGAGAACTAGAGAACTAAAGAACTAAAGAACTAGAGAACTAGAGAACTAGAGAACCAGAGAACCAGAGAACCAGAGAACAAGATAACCGAACCAGAGAACTAGAGAGCTAGAGAACTAGAGAGCTAGAGAGCTAGAAAGCTAGAAAGCTAGAAAGCAAGAGAACTAGAGAATTAGAGAACTAGAGAACTAGAGAACTAAAGAACTAGAGAACTGAAGAACTAGAGAACTACAGAACTAGAGAACTAGAGAACTAGAAAGCTAGAAAGATAGAGAACTAGAGAACTAGAGAACTAAAGAACTAAAGAACTAGAGAACTGAAGAACTAGAGAACTAGAGAACTAGAGAACTAGAGAACTAGAGAACTAGAGAACCAGAGAACCAGAGAACCAGTGAACTAATGAACTAGATAATAGAGAACTAGAGAACTAGGAACCAGAGAATTAGAAAACCAGAGAACCAGAGAACTTGAGAACTAGATAATAGAGAACTAGAGAACTAGAAAACTAGAGAACTAGATAATAGAGAACAAGAGAACTAAATAACTAGAGAACTAGATAATAGAGAACAAGAGAACTAGAGAACTAGAGAACTAATGAACTAGATAATAGAGAACTAGAGAACCAGAGAATCAGAAATCCAGAGAACCAGAGAACCAGAGATAGATAGATAGATAAACAAACAGACAGATAGATAGACAGAGAAACAGATAGACACATACACATATAGATAAACAGAGAGACAGATAGGATATATAAACAGATAAATAAAAAGATAGATAAACTGACATGCAGATAGATATACAGATGGATAGACAGATAGCTAGACAGAGAGCTAGACATATAGCTAGACAGAGAGCTAGACTGATTGATAGACAGATAGATAGACAGATAGCTTGACAGTTAGCTAGACAGATAGACAGATAGATAAACACATTCTCAAATGAACACTTCTGGAACATATTCTCAAATGAACACTTCTGGGATCTCGAAAATTATGAATGAATTTTGATTGTCAATTGAAAGTTAATCAATCTAATATTATTTAGAATGCAGAAAATAAGTTTAAATAACTTCATTTTGACGAGATTTTTTTTTGAAATTTTCATGAAAAACTTGCTGAAATGAGTGAAAAACCCTTGGGGTACTTTGTTGGTAACCCTTTAGTATATTAGAACAGGCTTAATATTTATTTATCATTATCAGGTACCTGTGTTCCTTTACCCTTGAATTTAGCGTACTCTACAGCTAGCTCTCGGGCCTTAGCATACATACTCTTAGATTCGCGAAGTGACCTTGGAAAAAAATAAGAAATAATTTGTTGTTAACTCAGATAACAAAAGGTTATTTATCACATTAAGCAAATGAATTTATTTAATTTGAGTTTAATGATTAGAATCCATTTCAATTAGAAACATCATGTGAAAAAATGGATCCGGATCCAGTCTATAAAACTTTCCAATTTTTAAAACTGTTTTCCACTGAAATTTATTTTTTGCATCTGATCCATCCGTATCCAGGAAGCCAAAATATTGAGGATCAAGCAGATCCGGTTTGTGAGCACTGGTTGCGCGTAAATGTTTAACTGGGATGGTTTGGATGGTTTGTAAGTGAGGAAGGCCATCCATAACAATTTCTCGCCTGAGCCACATTCTCCTCATTTTGTCGTCCGAGCCACCTCGAAATTCTCGTCCTTCGATTTTTATGTGTTTTTAAGTTTCCAATCTTTGAAGATTAAAGCTTTTTTTAATCTGACCATCTTAGGGCATACAATACAGATAGACTAAAGTATTGCAATGATTACATCATGTTGGAATCCATGATTGAGAATGATACTAAACTGTATTTTGGCACAACTTAAATCTCTGCATACGTAATGGCTAACCGTAACGATATAAAAAATAGCAAAATATTTGTCATACCTCTGCCTATAATTTTATCCATGGAAACACCCTAACTTTTTAAAGGGCAAAAGTTTATTCGATTAAAAACATTTTTTTCGTTTTGCAAGAATTAAATACTTACTTGATGCCTTAACGTGGATAGATTTAAAAAAAAAGTTTTATTGTCGAGGATTATAGAGTAGACACTTTAAAAAAAATATTAGAAGAACAAGGATTTCGTAGAGGCTCGGACGACGAGAAAATTAGGTGAATGTAGCTCGGACAAGAAATTGTTGTGACTGACCTTCCTCTGCACGATGTTGTTTGGTAATAAGATCATAATTTTCACCTGATTGCGTCTCCACATTTATCTTGGGAGAGAAGTGCCTCACCCTTTACAATATACATCCCATTGAGAATTTGTCTGAATATTTAGAAAACTTATCTTTTCAAGACCTTATATTTAATATAAAAAGCTTTATAGGATTTATATCATTCCTGGAAGTTGAAACTATACGCCTTGTAGAATTTAGCTTTCAGTAAGAAATATGATTTCCAACGTTTGAAGCTTTCAAAATTCAAGGGGTTCAAACAATTAGCAGCATTTGTAAACATCTGGCTAGTCTCGTTTGCAAGGGCAGAGATCAATATTGGATTGTGACGAAGATCAATTGCCCGTGCAATCGTGACTTCTTGCGCTTCTGCAGTGCACTGATAAAGATAGGCGGAAACCACCTTTCCGTCTAAATCTCCTCCTTCAACCGCCTTCTCAGTAAGCTGAGCCAGTAGATTGTCCTGTAATGTATACATATTAAAACGTCTTTTATATTTTGGCCCTATTTCAAAATATGTTGTTAACGAGGTTTTTAATATAGGGGATTATAGAAAAAGTTTATGAAAATTATCCGTACACCCTCCCCCCTTTCCCAAGCAACTTCCTACCCAAGCTTTCCTCGGCTCTAAAATCTAAAATATTTTTCCCTATGTCCCTTTTATGTAAAAATGTGAAACCTGAATAAACTGTAAAAGCCCTGCTGCCTTTCGCAAGCAAGAATGAACTTCTTTAGCGTCTTCCATTTCAACCTTCTCTCTCACAGCAATCGCGACAGCGTGCTTCATGAACCAAAATGCAGTATTCATTAGCATACTGCCGATTTCGAACACAGCGTCCTTAGATACAGATACTCCATCAAGAAGACTATTGGACCACCTATAAATAAAATGATTATCTTCTACAATCTATATGGAACCAGTTGGAATTAAAGGAACTGTAAGCGTAATTTTAAGTGACCTTCCTTTAAAAGAGGGGCATCCTTATTAAAGGAACATAAGGAAATGAAAGAGACCCCAACAGAAACGCTTGTAACTGTTGGACACTATGTTTGTAAACTGTTATTGTTAAGGAATATTAATATTTACTTTCTAGAAGTTGCAGAATACAAATATTTATATTCCAATTTCAGAAAACCGAGTTGGACATAGCATATTCTAGATTCCCCAGGAAAAAAAGAGACGTCAGCCGCGTTGAGTGCACACATATTTACGAGCTAAATACACGGGGATCTCTTTCCTCAAAAATTTAAAAGGGTACCGTTGTGAATCTGGTACGGAAATGGGCTTACAGTCCCTTTAATCATTCAAGAAACCCCTTAAAATTCTGCCACCCTGCTAAGGCTTTTTGCATTAAAATTTAGTTCTAGTCATTTTTTATATGTTTTCCTCGGTATATTTGAACCAAACTTGTTTGGTTATCAAAACTAACTTTGAAGTTCATATTATAAAGAGAGTAGTGGGTAAAATTAAAAACCCGTTACCTGTACGTTAGAGATTTACAAAGTTTACTTGCAGCAGCTTCATCTCCCGGTTGTAGGATTAATCCTCTTGCTAAAGCCATGTAAAGCTTTAAAGCAGAATTTACCTAAATTATTCTCAGGGGTATGGATTTTTTCAGTGCTCAGAGTTAATTTAATTTTGATGCAGTCCGGATCTACCCTAGAGATAGTAAATTTAACAGGTAAAAAATTTCAATTTTATTTCTTTCTTTTTTCTCTTATTTGTACGCTGAAACTAAAAGAAACCATTCAGAGATTATGAAGTTTTTAATAATTATTTACTATTGAACAATTGAGATTTGTGTTTTGAGAGCTAAAAGTTAATATTTAGCAGGTTGGGTTCCGTGAATCCGCATATTTTTTCGGATCCGGATCTGAGAGGCCAAAATGTTGCGGATACAATGTATCCGAATCCTGATCCTTAGCCCAATATTTTTGCGGATCTGGATAAAGACAAACAAATTTGCATATCCTGCAGCCATGAACTGGGAAGATGAAGGGTTCAGTGGAATAGAAAAATAATGTAAATTTTTTTCAGTTTTTTATGGATGTTGAATGATTGTTCTTAGTTCTATTTTTAAAATCAAGACCAATTTCAAAATCATATAATGTTACGGAAGTTGCTCCCTTAGGAGCTTTTGGGGTGAGCGACGCCACCTCTCAAAAAATGGAGAAAAAGAAAAATCTTGAAATTTTAGAGTCCAACATTTTTTTAGATTAGAAATAATTGCTAGATTTATGTCCTAATATAAAAAAAGAATAATTCCCACTAAAAAATTTATGTATCCACCGGGCCCTGATTGATACCTGATCGGTTGTATGATTTGGATCTACAAGCAGCTCCAAAAGACGTGCTCTGCTTTGCCTAAGATCTCCAAGGATTTTTATAGCCTCAGGAGCATGAGCAAAAAGGTCGATTTCAAACTTCTGAACAGCTGTACCCTTTAAAGGGTTCCTAAAGTGGAGATATCAAGAAGTGTAATTAGAAAAGTAAACGTGAAGAAAAATATATAAATATTTAAATGTAGATATTAATCTGTATAAAACTTTTTCTTTTCCATCTGTTTTTGATGCTTCCCAAAATTCTTATTCTGAAGCTGTTTTCTCCATAAACGTTAATTTCAATTCTTGTTAAAACCTTTTTTTTAAACATAATTATAAACCTAGGGGGTGGGGGGAGCTAATAGTCAATTGCTTTCATATTTTTTATAAAATCTTAGATTAATAAATTTTACAAAATTATCATCCCTCACCTGTGGAACCAATAAGACATTTTACAAAACGTCTGAAATGTGAGTGAGGAGAAATAAAAATTAAACGAACTGTTTAACATATCCTGTTAAAGTTTACTTGGCTGGTGATAAATAATAAACATTAAAAATAGTTCAAATGAACACATAAACATGCAAGGTAATTTCCTGGAGAACGATTATAGATCGCCTCCACCCTGCCCCCTTCCCTCATATCAATTTGTACATAAATTTCTTATGTAACACAATATAATTGGGCATGTGGCTGCAGCGCACGGCCCCTTGCCTGTACCCTAGCCGCAGCGCCCGGCCAAGAAATTGTCTTTACCTAACCTACCTCACCCTAAAATAATAAAAAATAAATAATAATAATTTTGCTGAAAAATAACAGTCATATACAAAATTGATAGGAGAGGGGGGAGGGGCGGGGGGAAAAATCGTTCTCTAGAACAGACTTACATAAAAATAGTTCAAATGCACAACAAATATTTCAAATGCACATAAAAATAGTTCAAATATTTAACAATTTTTTGTGATTCTTGTAACTATTTTTTATGATGGTTTGATATATTTTCTTGGGTACGATATTTTGACCCCCCCAGCCCCCCTCCTATCAATTTTGTACGTGACCATTTATTTTTCAGCAAATTTATTATTTTTAATTTTTTTGTTATTTAGGGTTAGGTTAGACTAAGACACTTTCTGGGCCGAGTGCTGCGGTTAGGATGGGCTAGGGAGCCGAGCGCTGCGGCCACTGGTTAGGTTAGTTAAGACACTTTCTGGGCCGAGCGCTGCGGCCACGAGTTAGGTTAAGTTAAGACACTTCCTGTCAGACCCATGTACACAATTGATAGGAGGGGGGGGGGGGGCCCAAAAATCGTTCTCTAGAAAATTGCCATTTTCTTTTTTTACAAAATTGTTATATATTTGATTGATTAACCCATTTGAATGAATCTTATCTCGAAGTTTATACAGATGATTTTTAAATATCAGTTCAAAGTAGAAACACTACATGAATGTTGATTTAACCTACAGATGACGTCATATATGTAGGGAGGGGGGGGTCAAACTAGTTTCTCTAGGAAATTGTGGGAAATTACACTCAAATTGGTTGATCGTTTATACTCTTTATTCTGATTGATTGGTTGATTAACATGATATATAAGCTAATTTGTGACAAGCTTTTCAAGTAGAATTTTTTCGTTGTTATGTTGTTATCTTTCTTCAATGAGAGAAATGCCGCAAAGATTCTTTTGTTATCGATGCTACATCAACTGAACAAAGAGAAACATTCTTCACACAGGTACCAGGGAAGTCAGTACTTAGTACACTACCCACAGGTGTAGCTGGGTTTTTCTGTAGGGAGGGAGAGAGGGGGGGCACACAGAGTGAAACGTATGTGAACGAAAAGAAAATGCACCTTATTTTTCCAAAATTCTCACTTCCCGTTAAATCAGCTTTAGTTCGGATGTTGAGCCTCAGTTGCTTTATACCTTTAGTATAATGTTTCTACCAATAAGAGCGCTTATAGTCGGTAGTACTTCTTGCCATTAGTCCAATAGTAAAAGACCACGAAAATTAACGCAGAACTTACCAAATATTACTATACAGTGTCAGTATAGTAGTTCTCTAATTTCTATTTCTTTGGTAGCTAGTGTTATGGACGCTTGTTTAGCTTATATGAGTTAGCTGCGACTTTCTTTTCTTGAGTCCGAATCCATGCTAATTTCATGCTATTTTTGGAGGTTTTCAAATATTTTCTTCTCATAATTTTCTTCGTTTTTGTTATAATGAAATAAATACTTACTAACCTACTTACAAGATGAGGTAATTTCCTAGTATACGATTTTTGGAGAATATTCCGTGGGATCCCTCTCTACGGGAACTAAGAGCTGAGGCATATCTTGGTCTTGGAAATATTCCGCATGCAATATCCGACATTAGGTAGAAAAATCGTATACTTGGACAGACCCCAAGATGAAATTATAAATATTTTTTTATTACATATTAATGGTTGAGGTGGGACAATTTCTGAGTCAAGCTAGACAGTAGATGAGATCATGCGCAATTGGGGGTGCCGAGCGCTACGGCTTGGAAAGGCTAGCCTCTCGAGGGCCGGACGTTGTGTAAAAACATCTAACGATGCCTATTTGTTACATGAGGCCCATCATGTCCAAAAATGGTAGGAGGAAGTTTATCAAGAGGCTTATTTAAAAGAAATTTATTATTTAAATCTATTTATTGTTAAAAAAAGTACAATAACAAAAATCCTCCCCCTAGCATTTTTGTAAATGGATCTTAAATGTAAGACATGGATATAATTGACCATGTGGCCGCGTAGAGATTTCGACGAGTTGTGGTTGTGAAAGATGACCTTGTTGTTTAACAAATTTGATATGAGGGGGAGAAGGCCGTGCGAGGGGGGATGAAAAGTGTAATTAGGACAGGGCGGTTGTTATTTAAATTGGTAATTTACCATTACAGATTCGGTCTATCCGTTATTGAAATTATGACTTGTGAGAAAACGGCGTTGGGTCCAAACTCCAAATTTTAAGTTTTTAGTAAGAACCCGTTGCAGAGGTATAATTCCTCCTGCACAATTCACAGTTTTTGAAGGTTGCTACTCTGCCAACTGTATATTATTACCAAATTTGCTTAACTCGCCGTGGAAAATTGCATGTTTTAGGTTTTTACCATATACTATACACACAACACAACTTTGGTTCATGGTTCCTATTCGGGAAGTAATATTGTATCTGTATTTTCTTATTTTCAGATTTTATTTAATTTAATACTATTTCTTCATGCATCTTTAATATGGGGATGCAAATCTCGCCGTTGTCAAAAAAAATGGCGGGATTTCTACTGTTCCTCACACATTTGGACAGTTTTCTGTACAGTAAGTTATTGTATACTAGAATTAGGAAGAAAAAGAAAAATTACAAAATTATGGAACTTTACACTTGGCAGGGTTTCGTCTTAATTCTATACCCAGCTCCGCGGAACTAAATAAAACTATCATTTTCTCTGCAATTTTTGTTCCCATTGATTTTTAATTTTCTGACGCTAATTTGTTTAGTGGTTGAATGTGTGTCGCAGATTGAAATTGACCAACATCTAAACCTAGGAATGAACCTTCTAGCTCGTGGATCGTATTCCGATGCACTCACTCATTTTCATGCAGCTGTAGATGCAGATCCATCAAACTATATGTCCTACTATAAGAGAGCCACTGTATACATGGCCTTGTCCAGAGCCAAGCCAGCTCTTGCAGACTTTGACAAGATTTTGGAGTTAAAACCAGATTTTCTGAAGGCAAGACAGCAGAGGGGAGGGTTACTTCTTAAAATGGGTAGACTCAACGAGGCACACATAGACCTGGAAAACGTAGTTAGGAATGAACCAGACAACGGTGATGCTAATACGCTTTATAGTATGATCACTACCTTGCAAGATAAAACTGATGATGCCAAAGATGCGATAAATTGGAATAATTATGAACATGCAATTGAACTTCTTACTGAGTTACTAGAGGTAAATTTTTAACCATGTGAAATCTCTTTTCAATGGAATCAAGATTTAAGACGAAAATAAAATTAAACATAAGAAGAGGTTTAAATTAAAACTAAATTTTCTCCTGAACGAATTGTGGCAATAAATTTTTCATAAACATAATTTGGACGAAATTCCCCCCCCCCCCCCGTTTTAATATGTCTTGGTTTAGAGAAATATGCGACATTGTCAGATGTTGCATAATAAACCTACTAAAATTGAAAAATTACAAAATTCCGCAAATTAACATTTTAAATTAGAATATTCCGTGGGATCCCTCTCTACGGGAACTAAGAGCTGAGGCATATCTTGGTCTTGGAAATATTCCGCATGCAATATCCGACATTAGGTAGATTTATTTGGTTATATTAAAATAAAGGCTTGATATTTTCAAGGAAAACAAATAAGTAGTGCTGAATTTTATCTCTTTTTTAATGTTGTGGATGCAGGAAGAGGCTCATTTACAATTCAATACTATTCGATTAATATAGATTTTATAGCTATATATGGGCTAATCTTTTTAAAAGGTCTCGATGCATAATGATTATGTAAACATCACATCAACAAAATATTTCTGGTTTTAGATCCGTTACCAAACTGACACTTGATAATACAGCTGGACATTTTAAACTAGCTTCACTACATTACCAGCTGGGTGAAGCCGACGAGTCATTAAATGAAGTGAGGGAGTGCCTTAAACTAGACCCCGACCATGTGGACTGCTACCCGATGTATAAAAAGATAAAGAAGGTTGCGAAGTTTCTCCAATCATCTAAAGAAGCATCGAATAGCGAGGACTGGCAGGAATGTATTGATATGGCGAACAAGGCTCTGAAAAACGAACCTACTATTGAAAATGTTCGTTTCCACGCACATGATAGGTATATTTTGTATCCTAAAAGTAATCCAAAATCACATTTCCCCCATCAATACAAGTTAACATGTGGCTACTGCGCTCGGTCCATAAATTGTCTTGATCTAACAGCACAGTGACCTTACAGTTTTTCTTTTCAATGTCTTTTTTTTGAACCATTACTAAGTTTATACCATCTCTTTTCTTTAAAGCCCTGTCACCGCGTCTTTTAGCAAATTGTATTATATTAATGAGTTCTTTTTTAGATTATGTCACTGCTATGTGAAACTTGGTGACTCTCTCGAGGCTAAAAGAGCATGTAGTGACGCAATAAAGATTAATAATGAACCTCGATTGTATTGTGATAGAGCCGAAGCAAATCTTGCCGAGGATATGTTTGATGAGGTAAGGCATGATTAAATGAGTATCAGATAGTGAGATGTTTTATCTATATTTATCTTTAAAAAGAAAAGTATTTTAGTCGTATGTTAATCTAGAGGACACGAACTGAGGGCTTGATTAAAAGGCACAATAGTTTATTATACAATAAGTTGTAATGGCTTGTTAAATCGTATATCTTGTTAGAATAATGTCGAGTTAATTAATGCAAACTACTTTTCGAGAAACGAAAAAACTATTCATAAATTTTTAAGTTAAGATATTTGAATTAAAGTTCCTGCCACAGAAAAGGGAAATGTTTATTTGCGAAATAAATTCTATTTTTAACACATGTATTTTTCTCTCCACTGGGCGCCCACATGTTCAAGATTTTGTAATAAAACAATATTAACATTTAAAAAATATTTAAAATTTTTAGTAGAGTTAAAATTTCTTTTTTAATTCATTTCATATTTCTTTCTGTTTTTCATATGTTTAAAGTTTTGAAACTTATGATGATAAATTTTTCAAGGAAATTCAAACCATGTTATTTAATTATAATTATTTTGGGTACTCAACTTTTACAAAATGATTTAATCAAGCTATCTTTTCTCATGCGTTTTTTTGCGCGCTAAGAGTGTTTTATCTATATATATAAAGTAGTAATTTCTGTTGTCCGTCCCATCATGACTCATAACCCCCTGACTGATTGGCCTAAAATTTTAATTGGGGAACTCGGGAGAAGCACGGGAATGTTTCGAAGCTTGGTTAGAGATTCTAAAACTTAGTTTCCAGACAAAACTGGGTTCCCACGATAGCTTTAAATGAAAACCGTTAACAACATGATAACATATATTGTCTCACATCACCCACCGCCCCCGCCCCCTCCCTCATAAAATCAAAATTTGGTTTGTATGCATACGTAGCATTCTAAGCAATAGCAGATTTCAACTAGAGTGGAACAGAGTGTTTAAAAAAATGAACTCTGAATTGAACTGAGTCTAGGGCAAGAGTCGGATATATCAAAAATCTATTTTCAAACGAGAATGGCGAAAGAACTATCACGCAGGTGTGTGACGAGAGAATTCAAAATCAAAATAAAGTTAATTTTATGAAAACTGTAAAATTCTTTATATCTTATTGATTATGTCTCGTACTATTTATTCAGTGATAAGAAATTGTTAAAAAATTTGCATCTTTCAGGCTGTCAACGATTATCGGGCAGCTCTAGAGATTGATGAGGATTTTCAACGCGCTAAAGAGGGAATCCAGCGAGCTCAAAAACTTCAAAAGACTGCTAAAAAAAGGGACTATTATAAAATTCTTGGAGTAAAGAGAAGTGCTTCCAAAAAAGAAATTAACAAGGTAATAATAATTGATTTTGTTGGGGATCCAGAAATTAAACTTTACCAAAATGGTAAACTAGAATATTTGTTTAACTCTAGCACTCCTGCTCTCAAGCAAGTTTAGGTTTTATAAAAGTCTTCCGAAAACCGATGTTAGATTTGATATTCTAAATATATATTTGTGTTCTAAAGTTGTAAATTTTAAAATTGAGCTTTATTGTCCGAGCTAAAAAAAATTTACGAATTTTTTCCATTTTTGAATAATTTGTCAGAAATAAGAGATTTTTTTTCAATACTTCTCTAATTATCCATGAGACCTAAATGTTGGTAAGATCAAGAGCCTTCGGAAGATACCAATTTTGACTTACTGACCCCAAATTCATGGAAACTACATGCATTCATGGACATTTTTTCTTTTCCATTAACATTTTATCTTTGAAAGGGTTTAAATAATGCAAAACAAAGAGGATTTTCAATCATTTTTGGAAACCAATAAACCCAAAACTTTTACCCTATAACAATTAATTGAGGGAATTTATTTCATATATAATAATAAAATAATATTGGCTAAATTTGGATATTATATATCCAAAGAAGAAATTTGGTAATTGTTAAATATAAATATCTAATAAGACTTCTATGCCCATTAGATTTTAGTAAACAGTAAATTCTTTTACCCCCTTCAGTTGACATTCCCCCCCCCCCTAAGTTGCATCGAATACTGATATTCACACCTCCTTGTCTTGCAAAGAAAAGTACAATTTACAACAATAAGGTAGAGATTCATCTCATATTGTGTTGCAAAAAAATATTGCAATTTACGCCCTCCACTTGATCTTTATACCCCCCTCCCTGGAACTTTTTATTTTTTAGGACATAACCCTGAAAGGTTCCCTTTTCTTTTTGATCCCTGAAAGGAACTTTACGAACAACTTTATGTTAATAAAGGAGCTTCACAGGGAAAGCATTTTTTAATCCATTCTTAGAAACCGATTTAAAGGAGGCTGAAGATACCTTCCTTGATAAACCCCAGTTCTCTTTCCGGGGGGATGTCCCCCTTATTTCAGGGGAAGATATTATTCTTTCCCCCACCCCCTTGAGGCGCCTCTTCTCTGTATTTATATTTATTTTTTTATATTTTCATTGTACTGGTTGTTCAGTTTTGCAACAAAAATAATAGAATAACCCAATTTACTCCCTCTGTATAGGTATTGCAAAGAAAAAATCGATTTCACCCATGTATTGCAAAAAGAAAGGAAAAATTCAGCCTCTCAAAAAATGAATGGAAACCTTAAAGCTAAATTTGCTATGCAAAGATCGCAAAGAGTTTTTATGAGCAAATGAATTTTTTCGTATGCTGTATGTTTAATTATGGCTTTAATAAAGATATGTATAATTTCTAAATTGTTACAGAAAAAGGAGCTGATGAGCTTAAACAAAACTAAAGAAAAATTACCAAAATTAAAAATTTAGAGTGGGGGCACACCCCTCCCTGATTTCACTGAGGGGGGAATGTAATGCTGCCTCCCAATTTGTAAACAGTAGTCCCCAGCAAGGCTAAAAAAAGTTTTTTTTTATTTCATAAAGATAAGATATCAAAATGCAAGCATTTTGTTTTTTTGGAAAGATATATTAAAGATAGACAAGCTTTTGAAGATAGGTTAACTTTTGATGATAGGTAAACTTTTGATATATTTATATAGCAGAGATTAGGATCCATTTAATTTTGATGCGGATCCGGATCCTGGATCCGCACTGCAATAAAATGGATCCGGATCCAGGAAGGATTTACTGAATTTTTTTAACAAAAAAATAATTTTCAAATTTTTTGTTTTATTTTTTTTCGCTTATTTTTATCCTAAAACTTGATGAACCATTTAGAAATGAGGAATTTTGTTATAATCTCTCTTTTTTTCAAAAGTTCAGATTTTTGTTTTAGGAGTAAAAAAGTTTTTGTTTGCAGTTTTTGGTTAATATTTTACCCTTTTGATCTGGATCCATGGATCCGCACATCTTTGCGGATCCGGATCCAGAAAGCCAAAATCTTGCGGATCTAACAGATCCGGATCCGGATCCTAAGCACTGGTATTTATAGAAATGTTTCAGGGGGGCTAAAGATATTCTACACTAGAAAATAAATATAATTTGATTTAAAATTATGAGCTGGGAACTTTTGTGCAGGATACTAATAATTTCGATCGCTTGATCTAGACATCCAGACATTTCTATATATATACTGAAAACTATGTTTTTCAACTCATTGAAACTAAATATCTTTTAAATTTACAAAATTGTCAGAATTAAAAAAACATTTATATATGTAAATGTACAATATTGTTACAAATAATATTTTCTTCTATTTAGAACAGAAAAAGGATATAGCTAACATAGCTGTTTTAACGCTATATCCTGAAATAATACACATGACGGTGTGAGATCATACAACTAGTAAGGGGAAACCCAGATCAGGAGTTGGGGGGATCAGAGACCAGGGGTTAAAGAACAACACACACACACACACTGTAAAAATGGAAGATTAGAAAGAGTAGAGCTAGGACCTATTTTTACATATCGTATGAATCAAATATATTTTTTTAAATGTTTCTTAAAAGTATTGAAAGTTAAGATTCTCTTAAGAGTAATGCTAAGGTTATTCCATGTTTTTGGAAGAGTAAAGCTAGGAAAAGAATGCAACTTCTTATTCAATTCAGAATATACTGTTTAGAACGGTTTTCTCGACTGAAAGGAGTGAAAAAGTGAAAAGGAGTAAAAAAGTTTTTTTGTAGTTTTTAGTTGATATTTTACCCCTTGGATCTTGCGGATCCAACGGATGCGGATCCTAAGCACTGAATATAATGTTTTGAAGAAAACATCAAAATGATCAATTTGTATTCAAATATTTTTCTTGTAAACGTATTGCAAATTGCAGAAATTGCAACACAAGCAAATGCATAATTATAAGTTTTATTCTGATCCAAGATTTTGACAGATTTGAGTTCTTACATTGAAATGGAGATTGTTTAAAAATTCCCCTAACAGATTTTTTTATTTCATTTTGAAAATTAGGGAACGAGACAAAAAATATGAGAAAATACGATTTTTAGGACTTTTTCAAAAAGGTTGATATTTCTCCAGGGACACTGTGAGCGGTAAATTAATTTAGATTAATATTTTTTATGTTTAATCCATTGGACTTAATAGATTACATTTAACGTTTATTAATAAAACTCTTAACTTTTCAAAAGTTTCACCTTGTGTCTGGAGTCCTTTGATCTCTGCTTTAACCCTGAATTTGTCGCCATGTCCAGGCGGAGTACATCCCCTACCAGGTTTCCAGTGGATATCCTCGTTGTTAGGACAAGTTATTCTTATCCCTGCAGTTGGGCTTATCCCGCATGGTAAGCCCTGCAGTTATCATGGGAGCCATTTTTGCCAAATTTTTGCCAAAAGATTTGCGGATTTTTGAAAAAATTCTTCGTTTCTAGGCAAAAAAATCGCTCTTTTGTTACTCTAGGCAAAATGTTACTCTAGGCAAAATGTGACTAGGCAAATTGTTACTAGGCAAAATGTAGCCGAGACCCACCAATAGAGTTGCATATTTAATTTATGATGGAAAAAGCGAAGAAGTTGTCAAGAATATTCTTAGTCTATTGTTAACTGTTTAGGCATATAAGAAATTGGCTATGCAGTGGCATCCGGACAAATTTCAGGCCGAAGAGGACAAAAAAGCAGCAGAAAAGAAGTTTATGGATATTGCAGCTGCCAAAGAAGTCCTCATGGATGCTGGTATTATATTTTAACAATTTTCAGAAAAGAAATATTTAGATTTTAATAACACACTGAAGTTGAAAACATAGCAATGTGTTAGGCGTGTATTAGTCTCACACTATATTGGGCAACATAGACCAATTTTTTTAATTTATATTCCTACTGATTTACTGTAAAACAATTATATTAAGTTCAACTAAAGACAACTTTTCAATTTTTTTACGCAACTTGTGTTAAACAGTTGAAACCTTTACCGTTGGTTATCAGCATTTTTTATTCTTCAGAAATGCGGCAGAAATACGATAGCGGCGAAGATCCATTAGACCCTGAGTCTGGTAGAGAAGGCGGACAGCAATTTCGTCATGGTGGACAAAATTTCCACTTTCCTGGAGGAAATCCTTTCGGTGGAGGACCATTTCAGTTCAAGTTTCATTTTAACTGATCTCCAAAAGGCATTCATTTCTTAACTTATATATTGTTAAATGATTAATAGGGTTATTTTGTTTACCTCGTTTAAATTTAGTTCTTAACATAAGTTCGTCTAAATCATTACAGTATGTGTTATTAATAAACGTTAAATAATCTGGGGGATGATTTTCGATGGTCTTGTGAAATGAACACTTGAACATCACCCCCTTGATACTTTTTACTGGAGGGAAAATGAACTTCAAGAGAGAGGGAGGGAGGNATTTTTACCTCTGGAACAGTTCTAGTAACCATTTTCACTCGGAGTGATTTTCGGCTGAATTTTGATATTGCTTGCTAAACTTTGTTTGGCTGCTCAAAAAACTAATTTCCCTTATTCCTTAAAGATTACTTTTTAGAACCCTGCTTTAAAGAAAGAGGTTTGAATAGAATTTAACTAAACTTAATTTTCATTGGGTAAAGTTTATGGGTAAAAATAATCTTTTTATGTCTTAAAAACGATTAATTGGTTTTTGTCTGTATTTTTAACTTCTATAGTTAATGACGGAAAGAAATTTTGAAAACAAGAACATTTGTTTCACCTTATCATGTTTCACTGTCTTTAAATTAAAGTAAATTTTTGTGGATTTCTTAAAATCTGATAAATTGCAGCAGAACATATCCCTTATATTGATTATGAATACATTTCAAGTAAAGCTAGTGTTTTAATCTGTTATAAACAATGCACATTTCACAAGAATTGTTTCTTTTTATTGATTTTTCGATGAAAGTGTGGTCCTCTGCTCTGCTACCAAAACTGTTGTTCTAATGCAACACATCTTACATGTTAATAACTTTTCTTTGTTGTTGCTAGGAATAACGAAGCTGTGATTGTAAATTCTTATCTAGTTAATTCAATAAATTTTTCGCTAAGATGTTTCACAACATTCATTGACCCTCTCTTGTATTTTTAAAGTGGTTAACAGAAAAATCACTTTCATGATGATTTTGGTGCAATGTTTTTCAAATCGGTCGAATTAATAATTAAAAACTTGAATAAAAAAGTTGTACTTGTACTGCTGTAATCGCCTACCACTGTAGTTTATAATTGTTAACCCCTCGGAGTGAAAATAAAATACCTCCGCTGGTCTCGAGTAGTCAAAATTTTAATACAAACTTATTTGAGTGACTATGTAAGTGGATAGTTAAAACATTTTTTTTCGCGTATAGGAAAATATTTAGAAAAAAATCCGAATTTTATTTGATTTAATCTATTATAATCTTTGATTAAAGCAATACCTTTTTAAAATTCTTATCAGATTTAGATAATTAAAAAAATGGTAATTTTGGCATTTATGATTTATTCAAATCTAAATAGAAAAGGGTATTATATAAATCTTTTTTTCATACTACTATACTGGAGTATTATTGAAAAATAGTATTTATGTACAAGTTGAAGAGAAGGAAGTTAAAGAAACAAAGAAACAATTAAATGTGTTTCAAGTACTGCAGCTGATAAGAATTTCATCACAACTGAAGAACTCAAAGCTATGCTGGCTGATGACAAAAATCCAGCAAAGTTTTTAATACATAAAACTCGCATTCCAGGAAATACTCCACCAGGTAGGCCTATTATCAGTGGCTCAGGAAGTGGTGTTAGGTTAGATCCCCAGCGCAACTTCCCCAGTCACAACTTCCCCGAGACATCTTCCCCAACGCAATTTCCCCAACAACCAATTTCCCCAACACTAACTTCCCCAGTCACTAATTTCCCCAGAAGCAACTTCCCCAACACTAACTTCCCCAGTCACTAATTTCCCCAACAGCAACTTCCCTAACAACAATTTCCCCATGCAGTAAAACAGCAACTTACCCAACATCAATTTCCCCATGCAGTAAAATATCAAATATTTCCGTTTTTAACATTACTCCAATAAACAAATGCATAATTTTAAAATAAAAAAATTCTCAAATTTTTGAATGGGAAAAAATCAGTTCGATTAGAGTCGACAATGTTGGCAGTTTATACACTGTCCTCGAAGAAGAGAAATGTTCTGGTGGATCCCAATAAGTATGAGTACAACCTACAATCAATGTCAAGGGACAAATCTAAATCATTCTGGAACTGTGGAGAAAAGGAAACATTCAAAATGTGTAGCAACAGCCGTTGTAAAGTGAAGTTGCTGTTGGGGAAATTAAGAATTTTACTGCATGGGGAAGTTGCTGTTGGGGAAATTAGTGACTGGGGAAGTTAGTGTTGGGGAAATTAGCGGTTGTGTAAGTTGCTGTTGGGGAAATTAGTGACTGGGGAAGTTAGTGTTGGGGAAATTAGCGGCTGGGGAAGTTGCTATTGGGGAAGTTGTGACTGGGGAAATTGTGTTGGGGAAGTTGCGCTGGGGAAACACCCAGGAAGTTACCCAGAGAATATAAGTTTATTTGTGGACAATTTTCTGAAACCCCTTTCCAACTTAAACCAATCTTATCTTCAAATTTTTGAGATGTATTGAAGTAATTAACAAAGATGATTTACCAGTCAACTCTATTCTATTCTCTGTAGATGTTACAGGATTGTACACAAATATAACTCAGGAAGATGGTCTGGAACTCTGTAGAGATGCTCTTGAAAGCAGAACTTATTATTCTATACCTACGTCATTTTTGATTGAGCTGCTAAACATTTGTTTGAAACAAAACATATTTGAATTTGGTGGTAAACTGTACAGACAACTGATAGGAACAGCAATGGGAATACATCCAGCCCCTTCTTATGCAAACATTTTTATGGCTAAGCTTGATCAAATTGTGAAACTTGCAAATAACTGATGAGTGCCCCCTGAAGATCTGGAAAAGATTTCTGGATGATTGTTTTGGAATCTGGACAGATTCTATTAACAAATTATATCAATTCCTGGAGGATATCAATAAAATTCATCCTACAATCAAGTTTACTCTAGAACATAGTTCTCCATTTTATTGTGGTTTAAAGGATGAACATGGTGCCACAGAACAAAAAGTATTCCATTCCTTGACACAAAACTATACATTGAAGATGGAAAAATCACAACAGATTTCTACAGAAAACCCACAGATAGATGTATGTATCTACTTCCATCATCTTGCCACCCAACATATAATCTAACAACATCCTTATTCACTTGCATACAGAATTGAACGAATTTGCGACAAACCAGAACTTAGGGATGCACAATTATCACAACTAAGGGATTTTCTTCTCAGCAGGGATTACAATTCTTTAATTGTTGACTATGCTATAGTCCGAGCTAAAGATATACCTAGAGAAGTTGCTTTAAAGAAAGTGGAGAAAAAGGAGAAACCAGATCGAGTTATTAATTCTATCTCATTTAATCTCCAACTGCCTTGTATCTCCTCCATTATACAGAAACATTGGAGAACCATGGTCCAGGATCCTTGGATGAAGGAGATTTTTCAAAAGCCACCTATGGTTACCTACAGGAGAGATCCTAATCTCAGAGATAAACTCAATCGAGCCAGAATTCCAGATCCTCCTAGAATGAGGCTAATACCTGTTATGAAACCTTGTGGTTTAAGGTGCCCAACTTGTCCCTACATAGAGCCTGGAACAGTTATACAATCCTCTAATACCAGTAAGAAGATTGAGATTAATGGAACATTCAACTGTAAGGCCAGAAATGCATTTTACTGTATTACATGTGAGCATGTGTAAACTACAATATATAGGACAGACAACAAGATCTTTATATGAAAGAGTGAGAAAACTTATTGGTTACATTAGAAATCTCCATACAAACCAGCCTACAGGAGAATATTTCAACTTTCCTGGACATGAACTCTACCATCTATAAGTTTGTATTCTAGAGAAGGATTGGGACCTCGGGAGAAGTTTACTTGAAGTACGAGAATCTAAATACATTAGAGATTTTATGGCTTAACTCAGAGGAATGAACAGAAAAAAATAATTTTTATTTAATTGTAAACTGTAATTCAGTATTTTTTTAAAAAGAGTATTGTTTATGTCCAATTCTTTAAAAGGTTTAAATACCCCTCCTTAAACAAGACTTTTTTTTTTAAGTAAAAATTTGCAAATTATCTTTTTTTCCATTTCATGATATGAGTTCGTTTCCCTTTTGTCCATTTGACAACCCAATTTTTTAAAATAATCTTTTTTGTTTGTTTATTTTCTTGTGGTTCTTAACAAATTTTATTTATTTTTTTTCGATTTTGATGGTTATTTTATCGTTGGAACTGACGAGGGTCAACCCAGACCGAAATATATTTTCAATAAATGTGGAACTAACATCTACTTTGTTTACCCTACAGAGGTTTGGTCAATCACCATCACCGAATTAAAAAAATGAAAAATAGTATTAGGCCCATTAAAATTATTTTTTTTTGCTTACCAAAACTGTTTTCACTCTGGATTTTTTGGCTAATATCTCGATGCCCATGCCTTACACGTTTGCCTCTTCTTTGTCATGCAAACATTTTAAGGTAATTTCTGAATCGTCAAAACATTCAAAATAGCAAATAAGTTATTTCCAAAATAATATCACACCCAAAGATCAGTATATAGGAATTTTGGAAAAAAAATTTAAAATGCTAAAATTTCAAATTTGCGCTAGATTTACCCTAATGCTAATAATGTGTCGCACATCTGGGATTTTTTCAGAGGCACCCTAAGGTATTTTGATTATTTTTTCCGTTCATGATTTTAATCATCTTAGAGCAAAAGTAACGACATGGAGACAAATTAAAATACCCAAATACGTGAAAGACCTATATAATATATCAATCTTCATTTGTTATCTGGAAAATTCCAATTTTTGGGCTTGATGGCGGGGTATTCCCCCCTTACCATTTGGCAGAGGGAAAAATGAAACATATTTCTTTTTACAAATGCAATATGTTGTAAGATTAAGAGAAATAAATGAGGTTCTCAATCCTCCCGATAAGAAATATTAGAGGGACAAATACTGTTGATATTATTTGATGATATTAATAGTATATCATCATGCCGTTACATTTAAAGTTCCCTGCACACGGTTATCAACCGGGACTTCATATCAATGTTATATATTCTTACGGTTATTGGGACATGGGACAGTCTACAATACATTTTAATCATGAAAATACAAAAGAATATATCAATTCTTGCAGTTCAGGAAGTTATCGCTGTTTAATTATCAAACAGTCGAACCAGGAAACTTTATGCTTTGATGATTCTAAAATTCTAATTATTATATAAAGTTCCTGTTTACTTCCCTTATTTTACGTTCAACGTGTAAAGCGTGACCTAAAAAGTTGAATACCATAAACCAATCATTTTCTATTCATATAGGGCTATTTTTCAAATACTTTTTGCTTGGTTGATGCTAAATTTAAAGTAATAGACATCACGAGGTACGTATATACTATATGTTTACTATAAATAAATAAGAATTGGAAACCAAATTTGGCAGACACTGAACCATTAATACTGATCATTGAATCTCTACTATCCAAATATACAGTGATCCAAAATGTGCAGATTTTCATGCAATCTATATATATACTTTACTTGTCTGTCTGACTGTTTGTTTGTTTGTATCCAATAAACGTAAAAACGGCTGATCCGATCAGGCTTAAATTGTGTGTGAGACCTCACATGACCCCGAGGGAGGTTTATGGGACAATCAAATTTGGAAAATAGTTAACTTTTTTGTGAATCCACCTAAATTTGAAAAAGATTTAAAATTGCCGACTTTTTAGTTCAACAGTTAAAAGCTAAAATTATTACAGAAAATGACACGCTTCCCTAATAGCCTAGCAATATAAATTTTGCTTAATAATTATTTTAAACTGAAGCTAGGAACAAGCTCGTTAAGTAAACCCAAAGGTGCAATGCATTGCAACACTTTAAAGTCGATCCAGTCTTGAAAATTGATAAAAAGTTTTAATAAAGACCTTAACGTAAACCAAAGAGAATAGAATACATATTAGAGTGGAATTTAAAGAATCTCTCGGTATGAATTTTTTCAGTCCCTTCCAGCCTGAAAGGGAGTTCAAAGTGTACAAATCATGTAAATGTTCACAAATTATATGCAGTAGAGTACATTAATACAGTATGTTCCCTAGACTATCCATTTCAATTTCGAATTTTTTAAACTGTTAAATAAACTTTATAATGAATTAGGTGAATAAAAACATCATTTGATTTATAGTTATAACGGAAAATCATCGTTTGTAAAGTGGAAGGCATAGAGTCTATGTGAAATGATCATTGGTCAATTATGAAACCAGCCTATTTCATAATTTGGTTTTCTTTTAACAATAATTTTAGATTTTCTATAAAATGATATTCCAGGGCCCAAAAGGTTATATAGCATAAATATGTGAAGTACACATGCAGTATGGAAACAGTACAACAAAATGGCCGTTTTACACTTTTTTCTAGTAAATTCCCCTCTAATATATATTCTATTCTCTTTGGTTATACATGTTGTACCAAGATCCTAGATTGTAAATAGATAGAAAATACTTTTTTTTTACCGAACTGGAAAGTTCTATTTCCGCATTTATTCTTAATAACACAGAATAGTTAAATTAACGTTCTAATGATCAACGTGTGAAATTTGAATCAAACGCATAAAATCATTCATGAGCAACAATAATTTTTAAACTAGAGAATTAGATAGAGAAAAAACTACATGATNCCCCCTAAATTGATGGGGGAGGGTAATCAAACGAGAATTTAAATTTCAATTATGGATCAATATGTTCATTGATCAATGTTAATGTTGATTATATTCTAATACCATGTTTTATTTGAAAATTTTAGACCAATTATTTCATAGCAATGGTAATAAAGTTATTCTTCTAACAAAATTTGTATTTTTCAAGAGCTTTTAAAAAAATTGTAATCTCCATAGTTTAATTATTAAAAGGGTGCGCTGATTTTAATTTTTGACCCATCGAACAGTTCAGTAATCAGTATACCCTACCATATGCATTAACTTCTCCCTTCCCTTCCATCACTTTAAAAGTTACAAAAACAAAAAGAACAGAAAAGCCAGGATTGGCGAGCCCCTCCCCTCCTCCTTTGTCTTATTATTAAAAGTACGTAACATTTCTATTGTTCTGAATTTTTGCTCAAAAGTCAAAGTATATTCAAAGTGTCCAATAATTGGTAGTTCCACTATATACGCAATACCCATGTCGCACATAAACAATCACTTAATATAATTTTGAACTTCATATCCCAAGATTAAGACCGTACTATAACAAGTTGGGTTTGAAAAAATGTCCATTAAAATCAAACTAAAACATATCTTTTGGCAAGCTTCGGCTTGTCAACAACTTAGGGTTGTTTCAGTGGTTCCGTTGCAAAAAATGACCGATGTGTCCAAAGATACCTTTACTACCCCTCCTACCCCCGCGCCTCTAAATGCAAATTAAAACACTGGTTACAGTTCTGATTGTATGTTAAGAGACCGGGAGGGGAAATCAGGGGACCGTAAATTAGTGCGGAAGTAAACTGAAGGGCAACTACAGATATGCACTCGTGATCACTAGGCACTTTAGTTCTTTACAGGGCTCAGAGAGAAGTAGATCATCACACTGAAGAATATTTTTTTATGTATTGTTGTATTATATTCTTACAACAAAACTGTCGAAATTTGGGAACTAAAAAGAATTTTAAGTCTTTGCCACAAACTCTGATTATAATTTCTATATCTTTGCAGCCTGCTGATTTGTACCTCTGATATTTTAAACGTACATTAACTTATGTAACAGAATATCTAAGGTCTACGACACTGGGTTGTAAAGATATAGGTATCAGAAAATCTGAGTTTGTGGGCGCGGCAAAGACTCAATTCCTTTGTCATCTGAATGTATGACAATTTACAGTATACCTTACTTAATTAATTTTGTTCAGCTCTTAAACTAATATATAAAGGGTGTCTCTGAAAAAGGGCGTATAGGATTTTCAGCTTACTAAACATCGTTGTATTGTGTAAAAAGTGCTCCTGTGGGTACAATCTCCTTCAATGGAGGGGGGGGGGGCCTTATCTTAAAAAATGTGCTCTGTCTCTTTCTTAAAAAATTAGTAGCTTGTATGTGTAACCTTTGTTTAAGTATGTATACACATATTACAACTTAAATTTGTTTATTTTTTGCAAGGAGCTTAAAACTTGCACCAAACTCTTATCCTTATAGCTTTATCAGCTGATTTTTTAGACCTTTACTATTTTTAAATTTAAATTCTGCTAGATCTTATTGTCAATTAATGATATAATGGATTTGAAAATCATCGTTTATTGCAAGTGTTCTGTTACTTTTTTAACAATTATTATAATCTTTAAAAATTGAGCAAGTGAATGCTTTAGTAAATGCTTCAGTATAAAAGTCTATAACTATAAAGTAATCATGAAAAAAACACTGTGTAAAACATAAATAATATTGATCTTAGTCCCTTTGATTTCTTTTTATTAATTTTAAACATTCTATTTAGTTGTTCTTCAAATTTTCTTGAAAATATAAATTAACGTTAATACATATTTTAGGTTAAAAAATGACATCTTATCTGGGCTTTCTGATCCTAAGCTGTTTAGTTCTTGGAATAGTTGCTGATAGTTTAAAAGTATGACTATTTATACCAAGCTAATCTAATCATGTTATACTTAACAGCATGATAAGATTAGCTAGATTAGCGAACAAATTATTTGATAAAATTTTAAACCATTTTTTTATTGTAATCTTTATCAAAATAAATTGTAGGGTAGACATGAAGGAAAGAACGGAAGGGTTTTGATGAAAAAAAAGATAAAAATCCCTCATCAACACGAAAATTCAGGAATAGATCCTTTTTCTGCTGGTGTTGCCAATATTTTCATTGTAAGTTGGATACTCGTCCTAAAGCTGTTTGCACTTCAAAAGCAGTTGCATTGATGACATCCCATCAGGGTAAAAGTTTAATAAAATTGAATAGAAAAAGCTCATTTATATAAAAACGATAAGAATCTATCAATAGATATGAACCACAAACTCAGCGAGATTGTTCCAGAAAGACCTGACAATGCTAAAAGATGTAAGTAAATAGTAAATACCAAATTAAGCCATGAATATTTTAACCTTTATCCTCTGCTTAAATCACCCTGGCTGGTTGAGTGTCCAACTAAAACCCTGTTTTTTTCATTTTTGGAACTCATACACAAAAGAATTAAAACAAAAAAAGTAAAAGTCACATGGAACAACTATCAGTTTCATATTCTGGAATATCCAGCTTCCAGTAAAATTACATTAAATCGTCTGCCGCTAAAATATATTTGTGTATAGTTTTTCTACAGTTTTTATTGTGATTAGATCTTGAACACACTGAACTATTCTGGAATATCCAGTTTAACTTATTTTCTGCATTCTAAATAATATTAGATTNTATAGTTTTTCTACAGTTTTTATTGTGATTAGATCTTGAACACACTGAACTATTCTGGAATATCCAGCTTCCAGTAAATCCATTAAATCGTCTGCCGCTAAAATATATTTGTGTATAGTTTTTCTACAGTTTTTATTGTCATTAGATCTTGAACACACTGAACTATTCTTTAATAAGGCGGGAATACGTACAATATTGATACTGGATACGTTAGAATTAATCAAGGAATGTTTTAATCTTTTTCCTATTTCATGTACTAAATATTTCGCTGATTATGGATTAATTTTATAACATCCTTGGTTTGTGTACCAAAAACTAAAAAGACAGGTTTTAGTTTTTAGTTTAGATTACATTTCATACATTTTTGAAAAGCCCTTGCTTTCCAATCTGAGGGGAAAAAAATTGCAACGCAAAAAAAACTAAATCTTTGCATTAAGCACAAATTTTCTATTCTCTTTGCAACCTGATGATGTAAACCTTGGATATTTCAAACTTTGCATAACTTGTATCTGTCGTAATCTGCTTCTCTATGTGTAAATGTGAAAATTTACTTTAAACCGTGTGAGCAAAAAGTCTGTAAACTTCTTTGCATAACTTGTGCAATCTGCTTTTTTTTTTCAAAGTCCAATAAGCTTTAAAACATAAAAATCTAATAATCAGGTAGAATTTTTTAATTAAAATATTTTTCCAATTTAAATTGGATAGTTTTTAGTTCTGTCATTGTTTACTGTTGTCTCGTTCGCCAACGAAGCTTGTAGCACTACCACGGGTATAAATGGAACTTGTTTCTCGCGAAACGACTGTGTTAATCAAGGAGGAACACCCTCGGGTACTTGTGCTTCGGGCTTCGGAGTTTGTTGCTTAGGTATAAACTTTTTTCTATGTATGTGAACATTTTTTTGTTATGAATCTTTAATTCATGATTGGATAAACATATTCAGCATCAGCAGCAAATTTCAAAATACGGAAAACATGATAATTAAAGATTGGCATAAAATATTTGAATTTAACTTCTTTAAGTGGCAATGCAAATGCAAATTTTTACTTTGTATTTCTTCCTTTAACATGGAGCCCTATAAAAGCTAATAGACTATGTTATTCCAGTTTTGAAAAACGAATCTTAGCTTTTGTATTTTAAAAAGTTAGCTTAAGAACTTGTGTTTTTGCCACAAACTCTGATTTTCTAATCCCTATCTTTGCAAACTGTTATTTTAAACTCAAAGTTTTTAATATAACAGAATTAAAAGTTAATAAGAAAGAAAAAAGAAAATCAGAGTTTGTGGCAAAAACCAAATTCCTTTGAATTTATTAATAACAATTTATTAAGTCCAACTGATAACATTTCCCTTGATATTGCAAAACATCGAGTTTTAAAGAATATTCTTTAGTCACTGCAACCTGTGGAGGCTCCACTAATGTCAATGGAACATATTTTCACAGCATAGACTATCCATCTACATTCGACAGGTAACATATAAATGTAATGTGACAACCTTGGTTCACAAGTTTTGCTTATGTTAAAAGAACTGATTTCTGGCCTCAAAGTGATTTCTGCTATGATAAAAAAGTCAAAGTTTAAAATATCAAAGTTAATACCATTAGGTTGCGAAGATAAAAAGATAATAAAGAGTTTGAGGCAAGAAATCAGTTGCTTTAATTTTTTTAAGTTCACTATATTCATCATCGTCAATTAAACTTTTTCTAGAGGTTTGGTCACATCCAAAAACATGATCCGACAGAATTGATACTTATGAAGAAAATAAGAATATGGGGAATTCCCCAGATTCCCAGGTATTTGGGGATATCGCCAGATTCCCAGGTATTTTGGGAATTCTCCAGATTTCCCAAATTCCTGTAGACAGTCGCTTTATCTGTATGATTTTTTTTACCCAAATTCATTGTTTATCGAGTGTGATTTTTCCCTGGTTTGTATTTTAAAAAATTCCCTTGGTGTAACAACATAGGAATAAAAGATTTTATAAAATCAACAAATAAAACTAGAGGGCTGAGACTTCTAGAAGTACATTAAAAAAAATCAAGCAAAACGAAATGAACACACCTCGTAAACCCTCACAATGATGATGAACTGAAACATATTTAAAATATTTACACTCATCTTTATTTCTGTTCAGTGTTGGTTCTTGCCAGTTAACTGTTAATAAACAAGCGGATAGTGTGTGTCAGCTAAGGTCAGTTTTTTCACCATTGAAAATAAATCATTTAATTACTTCTTTTTGATGCAATATTTCTAATTCTTATTTGGATTCAAATGGGATTAACATTTTTGACTACGTTTTTAAAATAAAATATTTCTGAAGAAATATTAAGAACAATTTCCTAACATGTTAAAAGGAAACCAGAACTGGGAACTTTTGTACAAGATTAATTGCATTTGAGAACCTAATTCAATATAGTTTACTGATCTCTCATTCGTGGTGTTTGAAGATTCTGAAATCTTGGAACTATGACTAATGAAAGAGAAAAAGATTCTTCCCTGACTTATTTTGATTTTATGTTTAAAGAGGTGTTGCTAAAAGGAAACCTTGCTATGCTATTGCATTTAAATGGTTTTTGATGCAGACTTACTAAGGAACTGAGTTTTTGTCACAAACTCTACTTTTCTAATCTCTATATCTTTGCAACCCAATGTCGTAGACCTTTGATATTTCAAACTATGAATTCTGATAGACCAAATAATCTAAGTTTGAAATATCAAAGGTTTACATAATCAGATTGTAAAGATATAGGGATTAGACAATTTGAGTTTGTGACAAAAACTCAGTTCCTTTGTTATAATAATAATTTGAAATAATAATATTCAATAAAAAGCAAAACAATTGCTGTCTCTACTTCTTCATTTATTTAAAAATGACACTAAGAATGATGTATTTGGAAATGTTATAACTAAGTAACTCTGCCAAAAAAGTCTAAAATGCATCTGTTACAAAGTCCAAAATTTTATCAACATATCTTATAAAAGATGACAATCATATCACTATATTGTTATTGGTCATGCAGATACTTAAAACCGAAATTCAGAAAGGTTATCGCCTTTTGAAAGTCTATAGTTACGGGACATAAATTTCTAACACATAAGTAAAGATTTGAACTCTTCAATCTATATAAAAGTTCCTAGCTGGTTTTTTAAAGGAATTATAGTCTTTGGCACAAACTCAAATTTTCTAAACCGTATATCTTTCTAATCCCGGATGGTGTAAACCTTTGATATTTCAAGCATAGATTATTTGAACTAACAGAATTCATAGTTTGAAATATCTAAGGTTGCAAAAATATAGGGATAAGGAAATCAAAGTTTGTGGCAAAGACTCAATTCCTTTGCCTGTGTTTAACTTCCTAGACAAAAAAAATTTAAAGTATATTTATGAGTTTTTTGAAGGACCCTTATTAATGTACACAATTCTTTTTGCATGCTGCATGCACATACTTTGATTTTAAATCCATATTTGAAAAAGAATGTGCACTGTGTATATAGTATTAATTAAAGCTTGAGATTCAAGTATGCTAGTAATAATAAATATACTAACGTCACACAAGATTTGGAGATTAGTGCAGATTTACAAAGAACTAATTTTAAGACACAAACTCAAATCTTTAATTCTAATTTCTTTGTAACCTGATCGTGTAAATCTTTATTATCTTAAACTATTTTTTTTATCTAACAGAATTTAAAAGATCCTATTTACATATTTACACATAAATTATGTTAGTTTTTAAAATTGAGAAAAGCTACGCAAAATGCGTCGTATAAGCTGGTTATTGCATAGTTCACGGTGATTCGTAAATGAACTTGGTGAACTTGGCCTCATTACTTTAGCTAATTAAACGCTTTATCCGGGATGCAAAAATGGCGTTACTGTAATTTTCTTAGTAAGCAATTTAATTTGTAATTTTTCCTTATATTTTATAAATTGCTTACCCCCGACATATAAAACTTTATTGATTCTCCTGCATAGATTGGAAATATGGTTTAAAAAAATATTTCTTTGGATATTGTTATTAAAAATATATATTACTCGCTGAAGTGCCCGGCGTTGCCCATGAAATTTTAAAACAAAAAACTAATTCTAAAAAATATTTTTAGTTTTTTTTTTCAACCCCTGGGTTCCCTGGGTACCCAGGGATATCCTCCGAAAATTTCAGCCAATTTGGTCCAGCCAACTATAAATATAGAAGAGAGCTTTATAATATAAATCTAAATTACATAGTTTTCACAATAGATTTTGAAAAGGTATAAGTTGAACCATTAGACCTGTAGCATCTTACAGAGCGTTTTTTTACACCCTGTTTGTAGATATTTTTTAACAGTTCATAATTGCATGATTTTTAAAAAATGTGCACGACTTGATTTAACTTGGCTTGTTCATTAATTTTACCTCTAAAAAATGAAGGATCTGTACAGGCTAAATGAATTGAGTCTTTGCCACAACCTCTGAGTTTCTAATTCCTATATCTTTGCAACATAATGTCCTTAGATATTTTAAAATATGTGTTTTGGTAGATCAAATAATCTAAGTTTGAATTATCAAAGGTTTACACCTTCAGGTCACAAAGAGATAGGGGTTAGCAAATTTTAGTTTGTGGCAAAGACAAAATATGTAAGTTAACAGATGGATGGAACAGTGTATGCAAGAAAAAAGGATTAAATATATACTTCTCAGAAGTATTTTCTTTTGTGGGTAACCCTGTTTGTTGCCATTTTTTTATGTGTGTCCCTAACTTTTAAAACCATTTTTTTGGGGGGAAAAATGTATTCAATTTGATTTTATTTTATTAAAACTCGGATTAGGGTTTGAACCTTTTTTTATCTAAATAAATGGGAAGCAATTAAAATACCCAGCCTTACTCCGTGAATATGTATTCCAGTCCTGTAGATAACTGCCTAGTATAAAGGCAATACAAGTTAAATAGAAATAGAATGATAAATAATGATTTAGACAATCTAAAACTACATATTTATCAGGAGTATAATTGTATTAATAACAAATACATCAAAAATTAAAGTATTGTCGTCAAAGAAGAGAAGACAGGCGGACGGAACAAAAGGGGATCAGGGTGGCAAGGTATAGTTGTAAGGAGAGAAACATGACAGGGGTCTGTTGTTAAACCATATTTCTTAATTTCATTTTATTATTACTTCAGATTTCCATCCTCTATATCCCATCTACATATGTTCTTTCTGTCTCCTTATCATCTTCCTTCTTCTGTTTTTCTATTTTTAAGTGTAATCTTTCCTTTTTTCTTTTCCATTTTTTATACTTTACGTGAATATGCAAGTACCCTTCAAACAATATCCTTATCTATATCTATCTAATCTATGCACCTGAGAAATCCTTCAATTTTGTTTTATCCCGGGCTATTTCAAAAACACTGTTTTTTTTAAATCCCTACATCTTTGCAACCCAATGTTGTAGACCTTTCTATTGATAGCGAATTACCACCAGGTTGCAAACAAATACGGATCCCAGAGTTTAAGTTTTCGGCAAGAACCCAGTTCCTTTATTCCCATACCTACATTCTTTATTTTTCCCCATTCCTACTTTTTACTCCAGAAATCTATTAAAGTAATTTTCATCTACATTTTCCTAACCCTTCCTAATGTGATGAAGGCTGGACATGGAGAACATGGTAATTGCTCAGCCGACCTCTACAGATCAAAAGTGTGAGTCCGACCAGTTTATAGTGACAGGAGGCGCTCCTATACCTGCTATCTGTGGCGTCAACACCGGAGCGCATAGTAAGCCAATTTTTCTTTGCATGATGCTCCATGTTATTACTAAATGCATTTCCTTTATTAAATGCTCGCTAACAGGATATCTAAATAGCTAACAACGTAGCGTATATAAACAAGTAGATGTAGAGCGTAGAACGTAGATACCATTAAATTCAATGTGAATGAAGAAAAAAAATTCAATAAATGTCAGTTACTATGTGATGCAAGGTTAGGAATAACTTTTTCGTAGACTGGACTTTGAGAATATGTTACTGAAAGGCCCAGAGATAACTGACCAGAAGTGCACTGATGATATGTTAATGATTCATGGCGGGTTCCCTATTCCAAATATATGTGGGACAAATACGAATCAACATTGTAAGTTTTTTTTTCATTCTTTTAGTTTCAAGGCATTCATGTTTGCGTGCTCCCCCCCCCCCAAAAAAAAATGTCTGTAAGCAAAAACAATGTGTTTTTCTATTTATTAGCGTTATTATGAACTTCAGTAAAACCTGTGAAACAAGTGATTTCAACAAAAAGACGGATCAAAAATCCCAATAAAGAAGGGAATCTCCTTCCATATGTTACGTTACGTTTTTTTAATGTTCCGGCTGATGTTTTCTGATACTTTAAACATATTAATGTGGCCACATGAGATCAAGGTCTGATTCTTGACGTTTTGATATTGAATTATATTTTTATAAATATCCCTTGAAATAACTTAATAAGCATCGCAGACCAGGAACATGTTAATATAATATGCATTGACAACCCTGTCTCAGAGAGCCGGTCTACCATGTCATGATGAAAGCGCTCAATTTCCCCCTTCAAATAACTACTAAGAAAAGTATATATGGATATTAGATAACTTGACTTGTATAGACAAGAAGAAAGGTTTAATTTTATTTGGGTTTATTCTGTGTAGCACATTACAATTGTTAAGTCACTCTTAGAGTTGTACGTTTATTGGAATTTAATTAACAACACATATACTCTTTGGATTCCATTTTAATAACTATATAAGATATTTTCAGGAAATGAAACTTTTACATGGTCTAAATATAATAAAATTCCAACTCTGATAAAAAATTAAGAAGAAAATATGTTTTATGAAAATATTGGGATTAACCAGGGACTGAGTTCTTACCACAAACTCTATATTTTTAATCCTATATTTCTGTTGTAACACGATTTAGCGAAAATATTTAGTTTTTCAAAGTATAAATTCTATTAAATCAAATAAACTAAGTTTGAAATAACAAAGATTTGCAGAGAGAAATTTGAAAAATTTGAGGTTATGACTAGAACTCAATTCCTATTCAAGCTGTCCAAAATATCGAGTTAAGTTTATTCTTGTGATTATATTCTATTTGCCTGAAGTATTTTATCTTATAAATGAATTTTAGTGTATGTTGATATGGGATTGTCCTCAAGCTCTCCAGTTGTACTGACAGTTGTGACCGCGGGCACTTCTTTTGCACGTTCCTTTTCAATCAAAGTCACTCAAATTGAGTGCAATTCTCTTTCAAAAGGTAACTAAGCTGAACCTAATAGGGAAATGGGAGCGTTAAAATATTTTTCATCAATCTTATAGTTATTATCACGACATCGTTTGATCGTTGGTTCACCTTATATTTTATGTTCGTGCAGACCAGATGTCTTGCTACGCCGTGTAGTTCACTAAAAACCTACCACAAGAATAATTTGTTATGTCTTGTAAAATTGACAGCTTTATATTTAGCAAGCACGGGGTGCCTTCAGTACTTCCAAGGTGTCTCTGGTCGAATTTTTTCTTTCAATTATAATGAAGCAACTGGACTTCAGCTCTCGGATACTGACTATTCTGTTTGTGTAAGAACTGAGAGAAATTTCTGTGGTATTCAGTACTCTGCTTGTACGGATACAGGTATTATTGAATTTTATTATAACACTTTATTAAAGTATAAAGATGTGGAAACACTTTAAGAAAATATACGGGAAAAATCTTTGCAATTATAAGAAATTAAAAGCTTCACTTTTTAGCAAACACACCGTCTCGGGCCTTTTCTGTGACGGGTGGAACACCAGCAGAGGGTAGCAAGGTTGGAACTCAGGTACTGCTTACAAGATAATATATTTTTTCTTATTTTTAGCGAAATTCTGATAAACTTATCTATATTATTCAGTGTGCTACCGACTGGCTAACTATTCCATGTGCAACCAATACCCATGACCCCAAGGCGCAAAACGGCACACCTACAGTCTGTGTTGATAGAATTTGTGGAATGGTCTTTAACTCTGCGACCACAGCTGCTAACTCACCTAATGTCCCGGTCTACAGTAAGTCTAATTGGTATTTTCCGGCATCTTATATATGCAGTAAAATAGTTACTCACACAGTGTTTATACAGCAAACAATTTGAGACTCCTAATTTCCAAGTCGCAAAAAAAAAAATAATTTGGAAGAATCACATTTTAAAAATCCCGCCCCCCATCCTCTTCTTAGGTCAATAAAAAAAAAACTAGAGGCGTTCTTGAAATATTTCTATATCCCAAATACTGGCTTATGTTTCTTAGCTCCAAATATGAAAAGTTAAGTGATGGGAAATATGGAAACAAAAGTATGTTTTCGTAAGAATTAATCATAAGGTTTTTCTACTGATTTAAAAAAATGTGTTTTTTGTTTTTACTCTCTTTCTTTAAAAAATGTTTTGTATGTTTTTAGGTTATACAAAGCCTTTCAACATTTATGTTCACACAGATAGTACAGAAAGTAGTTCTAGTCCTGCTGAGACCAATAACAGGTAGACATGTTGTTTTAAATAATTTAAAAAATGAATACTTCACAGCTCAGCAGCTTAAGGTCACTCTAATGTTTCTAAAGTCCCATCCCTTTAATTGTAAGCATATTCTTCATAATAGATTTTTATCATTCATAAATAATTTAAAGGGACTGTAAGCGTAATTTCAAGTGATCCTTCCATGCAAAGATGACAATGCCAGATTGACAAGAGTACCCCTAAAACCTTAGACTGATCAATGTGGTCGGACTTATTCTCATCAATCTACAAAAACGCGTTTAGTTGTTGAAAGGTTCTAAGTTAATTGTTAAGCTGTGTTAAGTTAAAAAATATTAATATCACTTACTAGAATTAGCAGAAAATAGAAATTTTCTTTTGAATTTTTTAAAACCATTTTTAATGTTAAACATTTGTTAATGTCAAGTTACACTACAAAAGCATCAGTTCTGTTGTCTCACACTAAACACAGCGTACATCGCGTTTTAGGGGGATTTATTTGGTTTTCAATATATTTAAACAACGATTCATCTTTACTCAATGAAGAGTCAAAGGGTACCGTTTTAAATCGGGTACTGCCCTCTATGCATGGAGGGTTAATTGAAATTACACTTGCAGTTCCTTTAACAAGTAAATATGCATATTACTTTAAAACAGAGACCTGCAAGGCATTGTGAATAAGTTTATTAAGATTTGTCATTAGATAATGTCATTAAAAAAAATTTTTTGCTCTCACGTTAAGGTAATTATTTGTCGGGAACATGCAATCGATAAAAAAAAATTTAACTATAAAGATTAAGAAACTGTCGGCTTATGATTTTTATGAAATAAGCAACATTTTTAGAAAAAAAATATTTATGTTTCAGAGGATTTTGTTTGAATTTTATCCAGCAACCCTGCATAGCTTCAAGTGGAAAATGAAAATATATATATATTTGTTTATATCGATGTTTTTTATTGTTAGGCTTATTTTTGTATATTAAGATTTGATTATTGATGTATACATTTCATATTTTATCATTAAATTTTAAATACAACAAAACAGTTAATTATTGAGTATTGATTTTTTTATAAGACACACTGCAAAAAGTACGCTTTGATATGTACCTTAAGAATATCAAGGTCTTTTCATCACGAAAAAGATTTTTTTCTGTCCGTATAAAATTAATCAAATTTTAGGTACATCATGCAATTTTATTATGACCCTTTAAGCTAATCCCAAAAGTTATAATTGACTTTTTGTTGGATTTACGGGGAGGAAGGACTCCCGATCAATTGAATAGACAAAAGCTTGCCAATAGGCAACTGAAAACTGTGCTAATTTGTACTGTGCCAAATTTTAACATGTTCCATAGAACAAGTTGTCGTCTTCGGTCATTTAGATGCAAATAATTACTTGTCAAATCCCCAAACTTACTGGTCAGTGTCTCTGACTTAGCCTTATTTTTTAGGATACTTTTTTACGATATATTAATATATTAATATATTAATATATTAATAGGGGAAATAGAATACTTTTTATTCTACCACTTTACAGGTATTCTATGGCCATTTAAAATATCCTTTTTTTCAAATTTTGAAAAACTTAAATTCGCGAATTTAAAAGTTCGTGAAGACAGGGAAGGGGTGCAGAGCAACCATGAGCCCCGAAAACTTACCTCTGGAGCCTCCTGATTCGCAGAATGACCTTCTAGCCAATCAAAATTAATCATCTCCGTTCCTCACGCTACGTCTCCAATCCTCCTCAACTCTTACTTCACGTTCAATATTTTTATCTCCGATAACAAATATTTGGCTTTAACATCCACCAGAAGTCTTTTTTTAAATTGGCTAAGAGGTCATTCTACAAATCAGGGGCTCATGGTTGTTCTGCACTCCCTCCTCGTGAAGAAAAGGGTAAATCTTAGAAAGGTTTAAAGCTACACCAATGCTTAAAAGTGTTTGGTATTTCTTTTTACCCGTGTTTAGAAGTAGAGAGCCAAGAATAACACTAGTTTATTCTTTTTCTTAATAACGGTTCAATAAATCGCACACTGCCCCCCTTCGATTACTTGAAAAGCTTTCAAAATCACTTCATTCTTTTGGATTACAACATATATAAAAATCACCATTACATTCGAACTTCAAGTTTTTGATAAATTTTTCTGACTTTTTTAGAGCTCTTTTGGGGCGTATTTTATCAGACTGAGAAATAAATATTAAATTCATGCTGGAATTTTTTGGTCTGAACCATTGTGTACATATAGGTCGTTTGGGGCCGCCCAGCTCCTAACTTTTTAAATTCGATTTTAAAACTGAACAAGACAAATTTTTCTGCGGCCCACCTTAATCAATATGTTTATTAATAGTTAATACTCAGGCAGTAATGAAATGGAGAACCCCCGCTCGTTTCGGAATTATGATTGTAAATGCTAAAAACAGCATAGAAAAATTTCAAAAGACTTCGGCGTGCAATTTTTAAATCATTAACCCCCCCCCCCATTTTGTTTACAGGCTATCACATTGAATTTTTTGAGTTTTTTAAATCGATGTGGACTGAGTCTGAACCCTTCGACCATTATGTGCTGACGCGTATAACTTTTCACAATTGTACCAATTAATATTTATGAAGTGATTCATGAAATATCAATTCTTTTAATTATTCCTTTATTTCAGCCAATTTGGCCCGGCCGTTTGTCAAGCAAACATATATATATTCATATAAATATAATATGCGAAACGAAGAGCTTTATTATATAGGTAACCTCAGGTCTAAACTTTTGAATTTATATTCTTATTATATACATATATATTACCATCAGGCCTCGGTTGGTTCTGAGTCTTCTCGTGGCTGGTTAAATTTAAGTAGTCGGAAACACCAAACCTTTTTCTTTCAATAATTTTTCAGTTATATCTAGGATTTGCCGTTTACCCGTAGAGTTAAATAAATATTAATAATGTATATCAAGTTCAGTCAATTTTGATGTTTAGCAAATCTGGGAGGCTCATGGCGGCTGGAGGTTACCTCCCTTTGTGCATGAAAAAGAGTGTCCCCGGGTGTAAGAATTTCTGAGGAATGATTTTACACTGAACGGCTTCGGGGTGCATCTAATGAAAAATATACAGTTAAACCCTAGATGAGCCATACATCAAAAAAATTTATCAAATGTCGTCTTGACAATTTTTCAATGTGTTTTATACTATTTCACGTAAATCTCATTATTTGCGAAAATAAATGAATAGCCATGAATATGAGGGAACAGTTTTAAAGAGCTCCATATAATCATTTAATTAAAAAACTAAATATCTACAATTCCATTATCAGAATGTAAAGAATACGACATTTGATGAATTCTTTTGATGTATGCCTTATTTAGGGTTTATGTTCTCTGATGAAGTAATACAGTATCTAGCAAAAAGTTTGGGACCCTAACAACAGTACTCTTAACGAGGATAATTACTTCCTATTCCTAACCTCACATTTTAGTCATTTCAACCTTAACTATCCGAGACACAATTTTAAATAATTTTGAATAGCTTGGAGGTTTTGTAAATACTTATTAAAATATTAACAGTTACTAAAAGAGAAAAAAGTCTGAAAGTGAGAGTAAGTGTAGACTCTAGGTAGATGCTTGATTTTCATTTTGAAGGTTGAGAAACCTCGAGGCTGATGACGTCATAGCTGGAGGTTTGGGCCAGTAAATTGTTAGTTCTCATCCATCCACAGATGATTTTTCAAATAATCAATATTTCCTACGTTTTTTAAGTGAGTTTTTTCTTTGTTTTATGGTTTGAACAGAGAGTAATTTTTAAAGAACGTCTGAAATAATTTTCTTATCAGAAGAAATTTTATTTACAAAAGACCAGATTTTAAAAAATCCCATCGGGCGTCGATTACCCAACACAAGTGAGTTACCCAATCCCAAAACTGTAGTATTCTTTAAAGAGCATACATTTTTTGTTAACTGATACAGTTTCCTTTATCGCAACTTCAGTTTATTTTACTAGAATTTCAAGGCGCTTCGCGCCCTTCTTTCTAGGCTTTTAGGGCGCTTCGCGCCCATCTTCTATTTAAATTGTGAACATGTTCTTTTTGTTTACATTTTAAAACAAAGAAGAAAAATTTTTTGCGGATTTTCAAGAATTTAAATTTTTTACAAAATTAAAAACATTTAAAACACATTTTTTAAATTTTTATCATTCATAAACCTTCCCTGTGGTCCCACAAAAAATTTGGGACCGATCGGTTCAGCCGTTTTGACGTTTATTGGATACGAACAAACAGACAGACAAGCCAAATTTATATATAGATTCATAAATGTTTTTTTGAATCGCTGTTTCTATGCCTGTTCCTTATAATTATCTAATAAGAATATGCCAACCATAAACTTCATGTAAACATTTTCTTGAGGATATCATTGAAATCTCCAAAAGCTATAATAAACTTTTCATATAAATCTTCCATACAAGAACAATCAGTATCAGCATTATTTTGTATTATGTATTGCTGTTCCTTACTCTGTTATCATAAGACTGAAATTTAGGAAAATGTTTTTATTTCGTATGTGATATGATGAGGATTGGAGCGGATCTATGTCCCTTGATTTGCCCATGGGTCAACATTAGTCCAATTGCTAAGGTGAAAGCGTGTTCATTGTTTATTTAGCAATACCAAAGCTTAACCCTTGTGTAGTGTACGAAAAGGAGATAATTATGACACAAATATGAACTGAGTGTTAAGTTTGGGCATAAAACTGTAGAGCTGGGCACGTTCCAACTTTTTTTAGCTGTTTCGTTAACGGTTTGTTCTAACCGTTAAAAAAATGTCAGGTAGCCGTTATTTTTAAAGGGAGTGTTTGCGAAAACTGAAAGGGGGTATTTTTTTGTTTTTCTATGATGTGATAGTTACTTTTGAAAACATTTAATCCTGTTTTGAGGATTTTTAATAATGAAGACGACATTTTCATATTTTCCAGGAATGTTCGAAAATCCAGCACCAGCAAAATATTATTTTTTTTAAAACAAAATCAAAATATTATGAAATATTTACTATATACGAATGCATCGAAAAATAATCGATGACTATCGATTGTAATAACTGAATGATTTGTTTGGAATTGATTATTTTACGATCCACATTGAATGTTGCAACTTTCTGAATTTGTATGGATGCTGCTTTTTTCAGCATGAGTCGTTTTTAACATTTTTCTTCTTATAGAAGTAAGATGGAAGTAAGATTAGTAGCGATCAAAAGCGCTTATTTTTCGCCATAAGCCTATACCCACTTTCATTTTTCGCGAACACTCCCAATTTTATTACTATGGTTAGTGGAAGATATTCCGCTTTTAACGGTTGTTCTTTTGCAATTACATTTTTTTTGTTAACAGTTTGTCAAATCGTTAGCGGCGCAAGTGGTTAACGGTTGTTTGTAGAATTAATGGCGTTTACTGTTTGCTATAACTCCCAAATTTTTGTATACAACTTTAACGGTTTATCAAATTAGATTTACGTCACAAAATTTAAAAAACAATCTTTAAACGTTCCATCATATTAATAAGGGGGACGGGGCTAAAGACAGCATTTAAAAACATCCAAATACAACAAACTTAGCAGATAAAAAAGTACGAGATTTGTCGTTTTTTAAAAACCCCATTTTGTTTTAAACAGTTTTTTTTAAACGGCTAACCCGTTTTGTTAATGTTTTTAAGCTAACGTTTTTTGCCATTCGTTAACGTAATCTTTCGTTAATTTTCAAAAACCTCCGTATATTTACGTACAGGGTGGCTCAAAAACTAGATTAACATATTTCAGCCCTATAAATCTTTTAAAATAACTGTGCATAAATATTTTAGAAGGGATAGTTTAACTTGTTTTTGTCTAAAATCTTCCATTTGGTCTAACTTATATGTCGAACATTCAAAATTCACTCTGTTAACTTCAGGTAATCATACACCAACATATACAGGGTGTATTTTTTTAATAATGTAATATTTTAAAAGCAATTATAAAAAATTATTTGATTTAAAAAAAGTTCTGAGTAGCTTATTGGTGGACGTTTTATAATCCGTAATGAAAAACCGGGAAATGAAAACAATTAAATCTGAAATTTCATATGTCTGTCCCATCATATTTTTACAAAAAACATCATGTTTTCTGGAGAGACGGTTCAAATAATGTTCCGATATTTTTGAAATTGTAAGACTACCCAGGCCTGGTAAGAGAGAGGTTTCCCTGAAAATTAAGCCAGACCGGTTAAAAATGAGGGCGCCGCGTTACAAACCCTGTCGCCCCCTCCCCTCGCCCATGTCAGAGTAGCAGACAACTCCTGCTTTAGAACCAATATGTGTGCCAAAGAGATAATCCGGAGAGAAAACATTTACAATCGATTTTGAACTCTGCCTTTATGGAATTGTAATATATATTCGACACAGTTTTACGCCAAGTAGAATATCGGATGATAAAAAAATTACTCAAACTACCATTTTAAATTATTTCAAAAGATCAATAGGACTGAAAACCTCTAATCTTGATTTTTGGGCCACGTTGTGTATATAATCGTATTATATATATACATGTTCTTTCAATATTGTGTGTGTTTAATTATAGAATTGCTGAAAACTCGTTCGAAAAAAACTACCCAGAAATAAAATTCTGACGAGCTAAATTTGTGTTTTGGTAACAATAAAAATATTGATTTTTAAGACCAGTGCGGACGAAATCATGAAAAAGAAAGAAATTCAGAGAAAAATTGTTGACGTAAGTAATTTTTTTAGTTTAACTATTTCAAGGTTATTTTTCTAGTTAGCTCTGATTATCATTATTATTATTTATTAGTTTACTTAGTATTTCTTAACATGAAAGGGAAAATGTGACATTAAAATATCAAGTTGAAGGTTCAAAATATGTCTCGTTCTTTTGAAAATACTCCTTAAACCAGAATCTTCAACAAACGCCAGTTCTTCGCTAACATCAAATAGAAGAAGTCGCACCTCTGCCAGTATTTACGTCAAGATAAACGAGATTTTTTTATGGAAAATATCTACGAGCCTGACAACCTGACTGCCCGCCGAAAACTTTAAGGGTTTCTCTGAGCTGTCAAGATTCCGTGGTCAACTGGAAGAAGAGGAATAAATTTCTGACTTGTGGAAATCTGTCCTTTCACTTTTCAAGACTCATTTTAGCAACAAACATAGCACACAAATTCAAGCCGAATTAACAATCGTCCAATAGAAGCAAATGTGGTCATAAACCTTCATGCAGATCTTACCTGTCCTACAATGGAGAATCAAGATCAATTGATAGTGGAATGGTTTTTATTGCAAGGATTCCAAAGCCCACGGATCATTCAAAACAGTGAAGAATTGATTTGTTAGCACAAACTAACTTATCACTCGCCTTCAGCTGCTTAGATTTTTGAATATCTTTGCATTTAAATTTGGTAAAACTCAAAGATCAAAAAATCATTTCTCCTGAGCTAAAATCTTTAGAATGGGATATCCTTAATCCCGATCGGTTAATTAATCTGTAGATTAATAACAAGAGGAGAACAAGCGATATTAAATCTAGCCATTAAGAAAAAGAGCGGATTAAGCATTAATCCCGATATTCACTATTCAAAAGTTCCCAGCTCTGATTGATTTTTCTTCTGAATTTTGACCAGGAGAACTGAATTTGTAGTGCGAAGTTCGTCCAATTTTCATTTGAGTAAAATTGCAAAATTGATTTTTAAATAGTGTATTTGTCAATAATTTCTAACACAATAAATTTGTAAAATTTAAGGACAAGTGAAAGATTCAAAAACAACTTAGAATGGAAATTCTGACTTTAATTTTTATCAAAAAAAAGAGTTGATAACCTTGCGGTATTCATTGAAAGATTTATTAATATTTGAATCACTAGAACACGTTTTAGGTTTGCAGGATTCAATGAAAATAGTTTCATACCAAAAAACCAGCTTTTTTAAAGGAATGGAATCTTATCTTGTTTAAAATAAACTGGAAGTATCATGGAATTAATCAAATTTCAAGAAAAACCGGATTTTCTGGCAAACACACTTGTAGCTTTTATCATTCTGGACCTCAGGAACATCTTGGAGTGGTAGGATTGGCTATGGATGTGTTCTTTTTTTAATATTAGGGTAGAATGTCCATGTTTAGACAGGTGAAGAATCCTTGTACCATTAAAAATATTACTTTTCATGTTTAATTAAATTACGATAAATTTTCATTAGCATAATTATTATTAATGATGCATGCATGATGTTAATAAAACCTAAAGATTTATATTCAACTTTTCGGAGTTAGGAAGAGGAGGATATAGAGCACCAAGAAATAGATAACTCCACATATAAGTACATAATGCTTAGCAATGGAATAAAGGTAAAACTAAAGAACTAAAAGTTACAATTAAATGTTAAGTTTCATGATTTCATCTTAAATGACCAAAATCTTAACTTTAAGCTATAACTTAAATATTCAAATAAAATTTTCTATTAATTAATCATGATTCTCTTGAGAATGTTGCTGCGCTTGCGTATTTATAGCCTATTTATGATATCAGTCAGAGATTAGATTAAATTTAACGATCTGAATTCATTATTTTACAGAACTTTTATGCTATGAACTCGCGCATTCTTTAGGTTTGGACTATGTAGTTTTTTTTTGGGGGGGGGGGG